AAGTCATCCTTTTCCACAGCTGTAGAAGCTGGGTGACACTGTTGCTGGGGGAGATTACCTTCCATTGCGGAGATGCACAATAACTCCAGGATAGAGAAGACGGCAGCCACAGTACAAACGATCGGAGCAACGAGATGGGGATGTAAAGACTTAATATCTGGGGGATTGAGGATGACAGACAAGGAAACGAGATGGCGCAAGGGAGGCTCGTGCAGACGACCGTGAGATCACTTATCTGCCATGAACCAAGGATGACGCTGGGGCAAGGGGCGAGTTTATTGGGCAATAACAGAGAAGCAATCGGCGGTTAAAGCTCCCCAACTACTATTGATAAGACCCGGGCAATCAAATCGCGGGGCAGGGACGGGCAATAACCATGGCAGTGATAGGGAAAGATTGGAGATATGGAGATAGTAGATGATGGAGATATGGGGAATGTACAGCTGGATTTATCTTATCGGGCCAGCTTGGGAAGATTCACCGAGTCGAGCGCAGCGATTATCAGTCCGATAGAACAGCAATCTCCATCAAGATCAGACCCTGATCGTGAAGATAACCGATCAACGAGTTTATCGCAGCTGAAGAGGAGAGAGGGGAAGAAGAAACCCAGGGGAAGTGCAGTTGATCAGTCATCTTCATGCATCTCACATGGTATTTACCCCTCATTAGCTGCACCCTCCCATACTTAGTGAAGGTACTAGTACTGAGTTGAACACCAACACAAACAAGTAACAAATTCTTCTCTTCCTTCTATTTCTCTTCATCATTGTCTATCATAGTACTAAACGTCAAGATGCCCCCCCTGATCGTCGACATCCACACTCATGTCTACCCTCCTTCTTATATGCATATGCTTCGCGCGCGCAAGACAGTCCCCTATGTCCACGACCCAGCCGACAATGCAACCCCTCGTCTCATCATCCTTTCATCCGACGATGACCCGTCAATCCCCGTCGATCAGCGTGGTCGCCCCGTGGATTCCTCCTATTCAGATATCAACGTGAAATTGGCCTTCATGCGCCGCCATGGAATCAACTGCAGCGTTATCTCGTTGGCAAATCCTTGGCTGGATTTTCTTGAGCCGAACGAAGCCCAGACATGGGCAGAGCGCATCAATGATGACCTGGAGACAACTTGTGCGCGGGTAAACAACGATGCAGACCCCGACAAAACAAAGGCACTCCATGAGAAGGAAACGCTGTTTGCTTTCGGGGCACTTCCGCTCAGCGCCCCGAGTCCTGATATTGTTGTAAATGAAATCAGAAGGCTCAAGACATTGCCCCATCTCCGGGGGGTGATCATGGGAACAACAGGTCTAGGCAAGGGGTTAGACGATAGTAGACTGGATCCGGTCTGGGAGGCCTTACAAGATACGGAGTCCATGTTGTTCCTACACCCCCACTATGGGCTACCGGATGAAGCCTTTGGTGGACCCGAAGTAACGAATCGCTATGGTCATGTCCTTCCCCTAGCTCTAGGGTTTCCTCTTGAGACAACCATTGCGGTGACGAGGATGCTTTTGGCGGGAGTCTTTGATCGCTTCCCGCGATTGAAGATCCTCCTGGCTCATTCCGGGGGTACCCTTCCTTTCCTTGCTGGTCGGATCGAGAGCTGTATCCTTCATGAACGTAAATTCATCGCCAACGGAGGTGATGTTCCCGGTCCGCAACGCAGTGTGTGGGATGTTCTAAGCACCAATATCTATCTGGACGCGGTGGTGTATGGCACTGCTGGGTTGAAAGCAGCTGTGGCTGCAGCAGGAGGAAGTGATCGTCTTCTCTTCGGTACGTTTGTCCCGGGATGCTTCTCTACTATAGCTATAACATTATTAACATCAGTATAGGAACTGATCATCCGTTCTTCCCTCCTTTGGGCAAGGATGACGAAGAATGGCCGAGTGTGACGACCAATTACAAAGCGATCCATTCTGCATTCGAATCGGAAGGAGACACTGCTGCAGGGGTCTTGGGGGGCAACGCGGCTCGCATACTGGATTTGAAATAGACATGAACTATATAATAATAGCAATGCTGCATGGCATGACTCCATCTGCGTTGTGCTTGTGCTTGCAGTTAAACGTGTCAGTGATACTGCACATCCGTGGCATATGCAGGATGCAAGTATTTCCGTTGAGATCAGTAAGTCATACATGTCAGATGGACGCAAATCCCGGCCTCATCCCTCCGGGTTGGCCAAGGTCAGACTGCGGCCAGAACCACCACGTCTACATCTTCGGGGAATTTCTCGCAGCTAGCATCTCCCAGCCTATGAGCCTCCAAATCTCTTGTACAAACCAGTCGGGCACTGATTGCTCGGGAATTTCCGAGCAGGTCTGAAGTCGTTCAAGATCCCGTTCATCTGGCCCCATGGGGTATTGTAGAGCCTCTGGCCAGAGCGAGTCGGTGCCAAAGACCGAGTGAAGCAGGGTAGCCTGTAGCTTTCCCTTGAGCTTTGCAGCCAACTGCTTGTTTGTACACCCATGACTGGGATCTGAAGACATAGATGGAGCATCTTCGAGTAGGACTAACATCTTTTCCAATGGCCATATAAGGCTCTTAGCCTCCATGGCCGCTGCGGGTAATGTGTTCTCAGCCATGTTAATTCCCTCCAGACCCCCTGGCAAAGGAAACCTGGCATCATTCATCTGCAAATCAGGTCGCAAACGCAAATCGTGGAAGACAAACAAGGAAACTAGCTTCCCCACACGACTCAAAAGGACGAATAGGAACCCTTCAAGAATACTTTGTTTAGCTACACAGTCAATGTTGAGCGATAGTGCCATTCTACTCAGCAACAAGCTCATGTGAGTGGCTATTTTATCTCTTTCATCTGCTTGGTTCTGATCATCAACAGAGTAGCCTGTTCTGGATCGCTTGGTTTTTGCCTTTTGCCTTGGTTGAGTTTGGTTTGCGCTTGGTTTAGACTCACGAAGTTGCTGTTCCGCTTTTCTCCTGCAATGCCGACCCAAAGCTTCTATAATAACCTCATATAAGCGAACGATAGAGTACGTAATCTGCCCAGCATCTCGCATATGTTGTCCAGATGCAGATAGTTTTTTGAAAGTGTGCATTAGGATCAGAAAAGCATTCTCGGTGCTGTTCAAAACAGCTAGTATATCCGGCCTCTTGGGCTCTGGTATCGCTTTAGTCGTGGATCGGGATACAACTGGTTGTTCAATCGCATCAAGCACAGTCTTTGTTGCAGTAGCGCAAAGCTCCACTGCGGCCCTAACAATGTTTGAATTATTGGGCCGTTTCTGCAGAACTTTCTGTAATGCGTAGAGTTGCCTCATGAAAGGTGCAGTGACTATAAGGCAATTTCGGTCAGTATAATCTCATTCATTAAAGGTGTATGGGAACAGACATTGTTCAGAAAAGTCTAAATGATCGACCACACCGCCATCTAATCCTGCAGAAAGACTATTGCCAAACACCGAGGTATCCATTCGAGAGAAGGTCTGGGTCTTTGCTCTCTTCCGTGTCATAGCACTACTACCGGGAGCAGCACCCTTCGCAGTAGTCTTGCGTTTCAATGCCGATTGACCGTTTTCTGCACCAGTATCATCTGCACCCTGGAGCCGTGCCCGAAGCGACTCATTGCGTTGCTCTAATTCGTATATTCGATCCAGCAAATTGCATTGTTCTGCTTCGGACCGCTCGTATGCTTGTTGCCAGAATGAGACGCTGTCGAAGAATTTGTCATGCGTGTAAGACCTGTCAGATGAGTGGGTGCTTTTGATGTGATGACGAATCTGCAATAAATGCTCTAAACTTTCAATTAATCTGCATGTCTGTCAAAAAGTACTAAGACGGGAATATTGCCTTTGAGATCCACATCCGGTGGCTTGAGCTTGACGATGGCCATTGCAAGCGCTAGCTGAGCTGGTGAAGGCATTGTAACTCCATTCATTTTTACTTTCTCAGAATCCCATCACAAGATGGGAGACGAGGCGGTATCACAATGCATCAAAGCGTCGAGTCGAGTTCATCAAGTTACTCTCTTTCCTCATTTGGAAGGCACGTGTGCGGTATCAAAAGCAAGGAATACATTTGGGTCTGGGAGGTCCTTTACATTAAACTTCTTAGGTTACGCTGACAATGCTTTGAAGAAATGTTCAAAAGTACTACTAATAGTGCTAGCCCTCTGGCTGACGTAAAGTCATACATACAAAGTATCGCCTGGAAGCCTCTGGACTCGAGCTACTGACAGCTCACTAGTGTATATATAAATATATCTTGAAGTAGCATAGGTAACATGTTGTACAGTAGTAAACGCTGGTTCAATACTGGCAGTAGTATAGTAACGAATTGAATACTGTCATAATTCCAAGAGACATTGCGAATAACAGATAACATAAACGTCAACATCGAATTATTTTGTGTCTGGCAAAAAGAGCTCTTATTACTACTATTACTACTGGACAAAGTGAAGCCGAGCCAAACCCGCCACCGCCAGCCAGACCCTCCGCCAAGCCCGACATGAAGCTTCATCGGTTTCTGCTACCACTTTCTCTCCTCTTTCATCCCTCCAACACAAGACCTCCAAGAGGCGTGCATCGCCAACTAAAACACCAAATCAACCCCGCATAACAAAACCCGAAGAAGTAATCCACGTCTGAACTTGAAACCAACACCGCGACGGCCAAACGCGCACCACCATGGCCTCAAAAGACGACCTCAAGGCCCACGCGGCCTCCAACGAAGACTTCTACGCTCTCCTCGATATCTCCCCGGCCGCCGCAGAATCAGAAATTCGTCGCGCCTACCGCCGAACCGCTCTGAAGTACCACCCCGATAAGATTGCAAACCCCACACCTGCGGACATCGACAAGTTCCATACGCTCCAGATCGCCTACGATGTTCTTTCCGATCCATCGGTGCGGCAGCTCTACGATAATGCGCGGGAGGCGCGCCAGCGCAAACAGCGCGAGCGGGATATGATGGATGCTGCGAAGAGGAAGATGAGGGAGGACTTGGAGGCTAGGGAGCGCGCGGGGGCTGCGGCGATGGGTGGCGCTGGTGCGCAACGCGGTGTAAAGCGACCGTGGATGGGGGGCGGCGCTGATGACGATGCTGAAGCGAAGCTGCAGAGGGAGATTGAGCGCATTGCGGAGGATGGACGACGGCGGCGACGTGAGGCGGAGGAAAAACTGAAGCAGGAAATGGAGGAGGAGGAAAAGTTGATGCGCCAGGAAGAAGAAGAGGCGCAACGGGCGGCGGACAGGAGTAGTCAGAAAGTTGATCGCTCGAAAGAGGGTGGCACGAATGTTCCGGAACTAGAACGAGGTGTCAAGGTGCGTTGGGTACGTGAAGGACGCGGGCTGGACTTGGATAAAGATCGGTTGATCTCTCTATTCTCGTCTTACGGCGAGATTGAGAACATCCTGCTCCTCAAGGACAAACGACAACGTATCGGAGACAACCGCGAGAAGAAGACGGTTGCCACAGCTGTGGTGATATTCGCTTCCATTGTCAGCGCCCACTTTGCTGTTCTGAACAGTGAGAAGAAAATGCGTCAGAGTGTTGGGCAAACGGATAGCGAGTGGTCTGCCATCGAATCTGTCTTCTGGGCATCTGGCAGCCAACCCGACCTGAGTGTTGCAGCCAACAGCTATTCTACTGCTTCCACTCCCCTGGAACAGGGCATCGCAGCACCCAACTCTTCAGGGCCAAATTCTTCCGCCGCCCCTCCCAAACCATCTTTCAACTTTGCTGGTTTGAAGTCAGCAGCGTCAGATGCTGCTGGTAAGAAACCCGGAAAAGCACCATCCTTCGGTTCCTTTGCTGCTGGCGCGGCGTCAAAGTCGGCGCAATCTGCGCCTGCTGGCTCGGCCAACGGCTCGAGCGCGCCGAGTATGGCGGAGCTGACGCTGATGCGGTTGAGAAATGCGCAGCGGGAGAAGGAACGCAAGGCCCTTGAAGAGCAGCTTAGGAAAGAAGATGAAGCTGCAGATGCAGCGGAGGCTGGATCAAAGGTATAGATGCGATATTTTTCCAATGACTCGAGGCCATGGTGCGCATTTACAAAGGCGTTATATGGTCGGATGAACTCGAACAGCAGCATCAAGTGCTGCACTATGTATTCTTAGACACTTCATTCAAGCATAGAGATACCCTCACGTTTTATTAACTACTTGCATTTTCACTGAATGAGACATGAACACATCGTATTTACCGGTATATTTTTGACAATATATTACACGTTTGATCTATGATACATTGTTGACGCAGTTGGTCATTTCATCGTGACTCCTCCTCTTCCTCCAACTGTTCCAACAGTTCTCTGGCTCGCTGTCCCTCCAGTTCTAGGTTACGCCCCTGGTTTTTCTTCACTCCACCATTGTAGATGTGCTCTCGCGTCCAAGCTGGGACAAGTGCCTTCAACTTCACCTCGCCAGACTCAGACGATCCACCTTCAGCCCCAGTCCATGAGACCTTGAACTCCTGATCAGGACTATATTGAGTCCCCTCACCAGTCAAAGCAACATCCGTCATCATCTCCAATCGACACAAAGCAAGTCCGATGTTTCCAATACCGCCCAAGAACTTGCCCGCGCTACGGCCCTTGCGCGCGCTGACCTTGGAGATATTCGACCCGGATGGCGGCAACTCCACATCCACAGAGGGGTCATACACCGGCATATCGGCCGACCCCAAGTCGCCTAGATCCCCATTATACAACTGAACCGGCAGTATACGCTTCCTCACAACACCGGTATGATGCGTCCGGATCGTAAGTTCCTGACCGACATAGCATCCCTTGCGGAAATCAATACCCCGCGACATATCCATGTTAGACTCCAACGGAAGCGCGGACTCGCGGATTATCTCCGACTGCCCTTCCGCAATGCCATGCAACATCCGTCGCACGGTATAAGAGCCCAGACCCACCTCCGATCCATAACCCTCGCCTTCTCCCTCCGCCAGATGCGTCGTCAAATCACCCTCACCCGGCGTGATGAGCCTGGACCCAAATCCTGGTGCGCGGGTATCTACACATCCGGTAACCGTCGCAGAAGACGAGGCAAAGGGCGAAAGTGACTGGGAATCCAGGTTGTATGCTGCCCACCGGGGTTCACTATGATCTTTCCATGAGGCCCACACAGTGCGTTCTCCCTCATCCAGGGCACGTAGCTTGAGTTTCGCGCGGAGTTTGTGTTTTTTGAGATGTTTCAAGAGAGTTGTGACTTCGCTCTTGTCCACTTCCACCAGCCATGCGTGTTCGTCCGGTGATGTGCCCTCTGCCTGGGGTAATGGGTAGAGGAAAGCGTCGTTCAGCACTCGGCCTTGGGAGTTCAGGAAAGCAGTGTAGGAGCCGGTTCGACGGGTTGCACGGTTCGGGTCGTTCGTGATGAGCATGTTCTGGGTGATTAAGCCTTGGAGATATGAGGTGCTATCTATGCCCGTTATGGAGATTAATCCGCGGTTTGTGAGACGTGCATATCCGGTTGCTGGCGGGGAGGGTGGGTTCGGGGTGGTGGATCGTGGGGCGCAACGCTGGATGGTCGTGGAGAAGGATCGATTGCGGACGAGACATTGCGCACATATTGTGCGTGTAGATGGGCTGGAGCGCATCATGTTCGTGGACTGATACTGGAATTGGTTCTGCGTAGCGTTTACAAATCAGAGGCCCATGAATGACATCGTCGGTAAGGCGGTGGAAAGAGGCAGAATACAGAACATGACATAATCTGTCTTAAAAGCTAGCCCAAAAGGGAGAATCTACTACGCATAGGAAAGTGTAGCTGGGTGGAGGGTCCTCTGTAGCATGGACAAAATCAAATCGAATTCAAGATCATGAAGCAATCAACCGCTAACTTCATTAGGGACGCATATGTATAGCTAACGGGCCCTATCAAGCAAAAATGACCGAGTTACTTGTGTCCTTTAGCAACTCCTTCCAGAAACCCAAGCAAGAAAGCCTTATTGACAGGCGAAGAGACCTTATTGGCATTAGATATCTGACTATCCTCCATTTCATGAGGTGTCTGGCCAACGTTAGGAACAGCGGGCAAGTTGACCGGCGACAGTGGGCTAACGACAGAAGAAGGCTGCGACGGTTTCGGAACAGATGCACCCAGTTCCGCAGGGGAAATATTCGGAGAGACAGATGTTTTGCCAAAGAGTGATAGGAGCATCTCCTTCTGCGCGACAGTTTGACTCGGTCTGCGGTCGAAGCTGGGTTGAGGTTGCGAATGCCGAGGGGACTCCGTGGAGCGTGCGGCGGCCTGTTGATCTTGACTCTCATTGAGTGCAGTCCGAATCGGGAGAAGATTCATCGCATTTGGGTTATCAGAGCGACGTAGAATCTGCGGCTGGAAAGGTTTAGGTGGCTCCGGAGAACTGGGTTTCGGACCCCTAGGCTGGGAGGGAGGACGGGAGGTTTGCGGAGAAGCGCGTGCAGGAGGCTGTTCTTTGGCGGCTTGCGGTCTTGCCAAGATTGTTATAGGGGCCGTAACAGCCGATGTCTGCTCATTTCTGGGTCCTTTGCGATTCGGCCCATTCTGTGCCTTTCTTGATGGCTTCTGAGCTCCGGGTTGTAAAGTATGCATGGTCGGTCCAGAGGCTGGCGAAGAAGTCCATGGACTAGCCGCGGGCGAACTGCGCCGCGCAGGGCTATGGTCCCCCCGGGGTCGTTGAAGGACTTGTTTTCTGGCCGGGGACACTGATTGACCCGATAGTTCGGCCGGCCCAGAGACAGCAGGAGCAGGAGACCCTCTCAGCAAATTAAGGAGATGATCCTGATGTTGGGAGGGCCTTCGTTCACTGGCTTGCGCCGGTCCAGTATGGGACACCAAGTTCGCCTTGGGCGTCTTGGGTGTTTTGGTCGAGTCATCCTTGAAAACATTCAACAGAGCCAGGGAATGGCTCGTAAGTTTGGGTGGAGGCAAATTTCTCGCCGGTGGCACGGTCGCACCGGGAGCTTGGGAAGGATGACCTGATTGAGAGAATTGAGGATCACCGGTTCGATGGTAGGGGGCAGGGGCGGCTTGACTCTGCGGAGCGGGAGCGAGTTCTGCCAGCGAACCTGTGTCTTTGTGGAAGTGTGATGCAAGCGACTGCTGAGGGGGGAAAGTTCCGTGAACACTACCAGATGGCCCTGGAGGAGCAGCAGAGAGCGGTCTTTGATTCAACTGGCCATGAGGCATTGCATTGGCAATGGATGCTGGTAGATGTGGTACAGGACCGTGATTGGGCTGTGGGTATGACGGCAAGCTGGGGGTAACGCCGACATGAGGGCCTTGCTGGGGAAAGCCCGGGAAGAAGCCCATCGCGGGATAAGGACGACTCACAGGAGGCACACTCCCTGGAAGAGGGGCCGGCATCGATTGCTGCTCTGGAATATTGGCTTGTGGAAGGGATTCACGAGACGAGCCGGTCCGCAGCAGCTCTAAAAGAGCATTAGATTTAGAGGCACTAGGCCCTGAGACTGGTGCATGGATGATCGGCGATGTATTTCCAGAAGGAACCAGATTGTTAATGTTGAGAAGGCGCTTAAGGTGAGCAGAGGCGTCCTGAGTCGACGCAAGTTCTGGCAAGTCACTGGGAGTAGCCATTTCCGCAGCCGCCTGATTCGGTGTGAAGCTGTGCACAGCATGGGAAGCTTCGTCGATCGACATGTCGTTCTGCATAGGCAGCTTCGGGCCACCTGGAGTTTTTCCTTCAAGCCTCTTTTGTTGGGCAATCCACTTCTTGAGTGGATGCATAAACGGAGCTACCATATAGAACTTGTTCGCATTGGCGACGGCGAAGCCTTGATCTTGCTGCTTGCTCTTCTTCAGTGTCGGCAACTCGGACAGCTTGTACCACTCAATCTTGCTAATCTCCTTGCGGGTACGCGGCTCAAAATGAGCATCCTGTGGCACGCCCCGGAAAACATACAGCCTCATGTGCTGCTCTCTCATGGTGATTTCGATGAACTTGACATCTTTCTCATCTTGGACCAATCCGGCTTCCCGAACGTCAAAACCAGTTTCCTCGTAGACTTCTCGAATGGCGCAGTCGATGTCTTTCTCATCTTTATTAATTTTGCCTCGTGGAAAACTCCAGTTGGCGCCTTTCTTCCAACCCTTGACCAAGACCACCTCGTCCATGTCATCGTTAAGCATGATGGCACCGCGCACCGGAACCCGGGTTTTGTAGGCCAGGAATTCGGAGAATGCGGTGATATGATGATAATGCGACCATTGGGACATCAATGGGCAATGCTGAAAGATGCGCAAAGCGAAGGCTTTCAGGGACAAGGACGGGAGAGCCGGATCCAACGGCCGAATGAAGTCTTCGTAGAACCATTGTGCTTCTTCAACCTGAAAACAGATGCGTTCAACAGATTCGAGCTCTTCTCGGGGTAAGTTGATGATAAAGCGAACACATAAATCATCCAGCCCTGCCCGGAGCCATCCAAGTTAGCACAGCCGAGGTCACCGTAGCCACACGGGCGGGGGAGACAAGCGTCAAGGCGAGACTCACAGTCTTCCAACTGCATCTTTGTTTCTGTCATACTGGACAACGTGCTCTAGCATTTCAGCAGAGGTAAGGACAGGCAAGGAGCTCTCCGAGCGTCAAGCGGAGAGAGCACGAGGCGGAGCGAACGAGGACTGAGGGGACAGCACAGCGCGCTGCTGCAGCTTCAAGGAAGGGTGCTTGGCAAGCGCCAACCCTGAAGCGTACTTTGTGCGAGAAGGCTAAGGAGGCAGGGATTCGAGGATAAAACCAATGGGTTATCTACCTCCAACCAAGAGAAGAAGCGCTGATAGGTGGGTAGAGAGTGAGGGAAAAGTGGCTCTTGTGGTCGACACCCGACGGCCTAACAATAATGGAGGACGGCTAAGAGTGAGTGAGCTGCGAATGAGTTGGGTTGGGGAAGTCACTCATTAGTTAGTTTACTAGTACCAACTAGTCTAGTCCGCTTAGGGGAACCAGCTGACTGCGCCACATGTAATTGACTGTGGCGCAGTCACACACAGGTATCAAGAATGTGGCTAGTGAGATGTGAGGGGGGTTACGTAATGTCTGCTGGTGGTCGCGCCGGATCATGCAATGACGTCGATGCGCGGCTCGTGTTCCAGATATTCAGGTCTTTGTCGACGTTGTTGTCGTTGACTGGCTGTCGCACAATGTATCCCATGGTTTTAAAAAGCCGCCCGAAACCCCTTGGTCCAAAAATAAGGCGCTTACATCGGAGATCCTTTATCGAATCTTCACAAACATACATACGTCTGCTCCTGAGAGCTTGGCGGTTATATACTCAGCCAAGCATCCCCTCCTGAAGAGGGTGCCTAATCGATCCGGCACATTCCAACCTCCCCTTTCTTTTTTTCTTTTTAACACAGACCTTTCCTCCCCTTATTCTAAGTCCCTTCCATCATCTGATTCTGCCACCTCCTAAGCTATGTCGGCGCAACTTGCAAATCTAGTGGGCAAGAAGATTCTCGCAGAATCCGCCCGGAATCATTTTGGACAAGAAGTAAAACCCATTCCATTTTCTGAACCATCCTACTGTGGCAAACTATGGGCTAAGACAGTGTGTTGCTGTAGGACCCCTATTTCGAAGAGGTTCCCGCGTCACGCTTGAATCGCGCCTTCGGGAAGAAAACACAAAAGCGACGCAAAGCAGTCCCTCCCGGCCTGTCGCAGAACGACAGCAAGGTTCTGACGCAAGTTAAAAGAAGGGCGTATCGCTTGGACTTATGTCTCTTTAGCCTGTGTGGAATCCGATTCGGATGGGGAAGTGTTATAGGTCTATTCCCATTGTAAGTTGGAATCCCTGCACATGGTGTTCAATCCGAGACTCATCAAGGAATCAAACAGTATTGGAGATGGAGCAGATGCTGCATTGGCTTTGATGGTGGTGCACACCTGTGACAAAATCGATGGGGGCCTCCCATCGCGGCTGCGAATGATGATGCTCATGAATATCGTGATCGATTTCTTTATCGGCCTGGTTCCTTTCATTGGTGACGTTGCTGATGCCGTGTACAAATGCAACACGCGGAATGCCGTGCTTCTGGAAAAACATTTGCGGGAAAAAGGGGCCAAGGCGCTTGCCAAACAAGAGAGGAGGCAGGATACAGCGGATATGAGCTTGCCGGACGAGTTCGACCGCTATGACGACGATACTTCGGGTGAGCCATCTAGCCACAAAGGCCAGCCACACAGTAGGAACACTGATGGACCAGCGAAGCCTCAAGCATCACGGGATCCCAAGAAAAGCCGTTCACAAGGCAGATGGTTCGGAGGAAGAGCCCAACCGGATGATGACCTTGAGACTGGAGTAATCGATAACTCCCGGCCCTCTCGGCGGCATTGATGATGTCACAGAGAGAATACATTCGGGACAGTCAAAATAATAATGCCTACCCACAAACGCGGTATAGATGAATATGTGAATGAACCTTGATTTAACAGGTCAATTCGGGCTGGGACCGAGCACAGGCGTAGCAAAATTGAAGCTGTTCGTGGCCTTGTTCGCCCGTGATGTTTTCGTTCGTAGTCATGAAGGCCCCGCAGAAGTCGCACTGCAGTCCGCCGATAGATGTACCAGACGACTGGAGCTTACTGGCAGTCCTGGTCACGTTCAACATGACGCCGGGGTATTTCGCACCCTGAGTGCTGACATAACGGATCATCAGCTCATCGATCGACAAGTTCTTCGTGAGCGTATTCTCGGAGGGAGGCTCATCATGAACGATGATGCCAGCAAGCTCGGGAAAGAGGGTGGCATAGGTGCGTATCTCTGCCGTGAACACGTCCCGAAGCGGGAAGTTGAACTCTAGACCGAACGGCGACATTCCATCGCACACCTGCCACGTCACTGCAGAGCCGCGTCCCTTCGCAACGTTGGCGAGCGTCTTGGCGGCAAGCTTGCTGTCCGAGTCACCCCATACTATGCCACGGCATTCCATTTTCTTTGCGAAAGCAACGACGAGTTTGTTCAACAAGATTTGGTCGACATCGGACTTGGAAGTGGCTGACGAGATCGACCTGCGGAAGCGGGTTAAACGCTCCTCATTGGATAGAGAAGTGTCATCTGTGAAGTTCTCCCCAGCATACTGCGACATGATCTGATGGACATCCGGGTCAAGCTCGAAGATACTGTGGAAGGGGAGCCGGGTGAAGGAACAGAGTGGAAAGGTTTGCTGCGCGAGTGCAAAGCCTTCTTCGTGCGGAGGAACAGGGGAGATTGTCGAAGGCTCAACGACGAGGACGAGAATTTCAAAGCCCGCGGGGCCGTGTTTCTTCGAGCGTAGTACCTCCAGCTGCTGGTGCAGCATGTGCAATAGAACGGTGGAGGAGACGCCGTACGAAAGGGGGAGCAGCAATTTGCAGGGACCGGTCTGTGGCATATTCCTCCGGAGACGATAACGTTCCATGCGCCTGAAGGGCTTGAAGTTCAAGAATCGAATATAACATTCTCTGAATGGAGGGGTAACTGAGATCAGTATGGACTAGAAGCGGCGACAGGTATACTATAGGGAAGACGAGACGTACTGGCACACGAAACGCTCGCGCAATGTAAAGGCCGGTTCGGCCTCATGGCAGTTCATGCAGTGATCAGGCAGCTCTTTTCCGGGCATTTTGGTGGGTGTCAGGGGCGGAGTGCAAGACTGGGTTCATACAATAAAATTGTAGATTGTGATTAGTTTTCACGCGGGATGCCGGGTGGGGAGCGATTTTCGCCAGGCAGAATTTCTCGGCGGCGGGCAGAGCCACTGGCAGCACGGGCTTAGATAATACCCATGGGCGGGACCCCCGTCAACAACACGCGGCTTCCCCGGTTTCAGCAGTTCAAGCCACGCTTCGTGAGATCGTCGCAAACATCATTCGGTCTCCCAACGCATCCGAGTTCTGCCGACTTCCCCTGAGAAGGCCACTTCCTCCGTTGAATTTGCCCTCAAATTGTACCTGGAGCTTCTTATGATCCAGGGCTGCAACTAAACCCTGCTCTCGGCGACTCCGGAGCTCCGTCCTACTGCCAGGCACCCTACCGCATAGCTCCTTTTTCATTGTCACAATGAGAGGCTGGCTTCGGACCCTTGGCTTAACTGCCTTACTGGCAGGAAGTGTGCTGGCAAATGAAGTTGAACTAGTGCGCATTGTCTTTCACCATAATCCAAGGCTCGATGCTGACATCCGTTTCCCGCGCAGACACAAGATGAAGCCCATCGACAGCGTTGTTCGGGAATGTATAGTCGCAAAGCTTGGGGTGGCAGTGTCGATCCCTTCATCTTGACCAAATTCGTCCAAGAACCCCAGTCTGGTGATAGCGATCCTCTCGTCAGTCTCGTCATATTCGAATGGTCCGATGAGAATCTTATCGGCCGGCCTGTTCCGGGTGACTCTGGAGTACGACCACCCTTCCCTGACCATGATTATATTTGGATAGTCCAACTCATACATGCGGATTTAGGAAAGGGAAACGATCTGTGATGAGGCCAGTGTGCAGGCGAACCTCTGCTCGGAAGACCAAGTCGGTTCTTTCATTCTTGCTTCGAATGTCACCGAGGCCTCCAAATTTCCTGTCGTCACCAAAGCAGTCCACCTAAATGATCCCGCCGCCATCAATTATCCTATCAAAAAGACTGGATTCTATTGCGTCAGCACGTACGGGTACTCCGGCGTGGACTACAAGGCCGTGATCGAGTTCAGAAACTCGTACGGTGAACTTCCAGCTGCGCAGATCGCAAAGCTCCCGTTTTATGGTGGCTTGACTATCGTCTACGCAGTTGTTGGTCTGTAAGTATTTTCTAATGTTGCAGTGTTCAGTCAGGGTGGGGCTTATGCTCAATAGGTTCTGGGCATTCCTTTACGTGCAAAACCGTCACGATATTTGTAAGTACAGGCTTTGGGTGTCTAGTGACTATCCGCTAATCGTCTATAGTGCCTGTTCAAAATTACATCACCGCGATCCTTGTTTTCCTCATTGTCGAGCAGTTGATGACTTGGGGCTTCTACGGTATGTCTAACGCTTATACCGCCGATGACCTTTGCTAACGCTCATTCAGACTATCAAAACCGCAACGGCTTGAACACCGGCGCAAAGGCACTGATGGTTATAGTCGCTGTACTGAATGCGGGACGCAACGCTTTCTCGTTCTTCCTCCTGCTGATAGTGTGCATGGGCTATGGTGTTGTCAAACCGTCGCTTGGTCGGACGATGATCTATGTTCGTATCCTTGCCATCACGCACTTCATCTTCGCTGTGATATATGCTGTCGCCAGTCTGTCGATTACCCCGGACAGCGCCGGCCCGCTCGTCTTGCTCATCGTGCTTCCTCTTGCTGGCACACTCACGGCATTCTACGTGTGGACGTTGAACTCCTTGAATGCGACTATGAAGGACCTTATCGACAGAAAGCAGAAGACGAAAGCCATGATGTACAAGAAGCTTTGGTGGTGCATTCTCGGTAGTATCGTCGTTATCTTCGGTTTCTTCTTTATCAACTCTGTCGCCTTTGCAGGACGCAGCGAGGCCAGCTTCGTACCGGAGCACTGGAAGTCTAGATGGTTTGTGCTGGATGGCTGGTTGAACCTGGTGTACTTCTTCGATATCGGATTCGTCGCCTATCTCTGGCGTCCCACTGCTAACAACAGACGGTTCGCTATGAGTGACGAGGTAAGCCTTGTTTGGAGCAGTTGTGCGAGCCTGAAAGATAAACTAACAACATGCTAGATTGCGCAAGATGACGACGGGTTCGAGATTCGTTCCTTCGGTAGTGCATTGGATGAAGAGGACGCTTTTGGTGGACCCGAAGAACCTTCCGGTTCGGAGCATCGTCGTGACCTGTCACCTGTGCCTCCCAAGCCTGTCCCTGCAGCCCCGCGTCAACGGGAGTCTCTGGACGGTGAGACTATCTTCGCTGTCGGCGAGGACGGAGACAAATGGTCTGACGACGAAGATGAATCGCCGCGCAACTCCGGCGAACGAGAGCGGCTTACCGGCAAGCACAAGGACTAAATGCGGCTTGCGAAGCCACACGTGCCCCGTCGTGGGCATTGACATCCTAAAATTGCAGGGCCAAAAAGTCATTCTCGCAATCGCTATTTGTCTACTGTCTTGACTGTCGGCGACATACGGCTACGTTGCCATATTTCGGGGAAAATTGGAAGTGTTGGTATTCTTCATGTGTTAGTTGGCTTTGCAGGCATATGATGGCGTTCGGCCTATGGTGTATTCCCCGTTGTTTAGTGTTTCGTGTTTCTTCTGCTTCGAATGTAATGGAGGAGCGATATCTTTTCCCTTATTTTGTATAGATTCTCTATCATATGTAACTCCATTTATGAAGCAATGTTTTCATTTCACTAATCATGATGCATGACGTCAGTAACTCTATCTCAGCATTCACACAAGCCTTAGTATCCCATGCCTGTCCATCATCACTTGCACTGATCCTACAGTGAGGAACAACTTCCAGCTATGTTGGAACGCTCTAAATCATACGCTCATTTCATTTCGATCCTATGCATAATCTTGTGACTGATCGAGCCCACTACGGAAACAGCTAGCTATGCCGGTGCTTCACCGTTTGAAGCAATTAAAATGGCCCTGAACGCCTCAAATTCCTCAACCCTCAGTAACTACATGAAGCCATAAACAACGCGTACTACGAGGTCAGAAGGTCGTCGCCATAGCTGAATGAGAGCAAAGCAAGGCAAAATACAGCGAAGCCATGCCACAAAATGAAAGTGTAAACCAGTGGCAACCAGCTAGCTGCCTGCCATCTTCTCTTCGTTCTTCGTCCATGTTCTTGCTTCCATCATGCGCATTCTTCTGATGTGAGGTGACGACTCAGATCGGGGCGTGTGTGGATTCCAATCCATCTACCCAGCGTCTTCAGCATCTATTCCCATGGCCCTGACGCCTACATGTTTCTGGTTCGGGCCGGGTCAATCCGATTCAGGGTCCAGTTCGACCTGGCTGAGCTTAAGTCATACTACCGTTAACGTTAACTAACTAGTGGTGACTTCCCGCACAACCCCCATAGAAACAACTTCTCCATCCGCACGCGAGGGCCACCATGAGTGACCAGCCCGGCGCCGAGCATCGTCTCCAACAAGGCCTGCTTACCCAGTGCAGCAGTGCCATGACTCACGAAAAATTCCGTCGGTTTCCATGATTCCATCTTCCCTAACACATCAACATCAACAATACCACCATCTCCACCATTCTTCTTTCCACCCTTAACGAACCCAACCCACCCGCAATTCAAACCCCCCAGCTAGCTCAAGCAAAGACAACGTGAGCGACCACCCACCATGGCGCATTCCAGAAATCAAGTCGACGACGTCGTCGCCTCTTCTAGCGAGATCGAGATCTCTGCCTTCCAAGTCAGTCGAGAGCTCTCGGCGTCCCTCCTCGCGCGATGTCGATCCCTCCTCGCCGAGATTAGCGAGTTCCAGGCCCTTTTGGTGGAAACCCAACGGAACCCCCAGATCGTGGAGGTGCGATCGCTGAAATCGAATGTGCTGTCGGAGTTGCGCACGTTGGAGAAATTAGGCGCGCAGGTGCAGAACCTGCCTGAGCCGACGAAGGGCGATGGCGATGGGGAGAATTATAATAATAATACCGATGCTGGAGCGACTGATGGCGATGACTTGGCGGCGAGAAGACTGGTTCATACGTTGAAGTCCTCGAATTTGCCGTTTTATGAGGCCGTTTGGGCCATTGCGAAGAATACGTGTCGTGGGTTGGTTGCGTTTGGGAAGAGGTTTTATTGGGGGCATGATGGTGATAATGGGGTTTCGGAGAAAAAGTCTGGGAGGGATAAGAAGAAGAGTGTGTTTGTGGATATTATTGCTGATGATGGGGAGGAGTGGGTGAAGGTGTCTACGGTTGCGGAGTCGAGGTTGTTGTTTGAGATGGCGGAGAAGGGGTGGGAGGCTGATTCTGAGAGTGAGGATGGGGAGGCTCGGACGGTTCTACGGAATCATGATGGGGATAATGGTGATGTGGAGGACGATGAGGATGAGGATGAGATTGAGCTGGTGAAGCTGGCTAAAGATTTGAGGACTGCGGCCAATGCTACGAGAGTCAGGTATAGACATCCTCGGCTGCGGTTTGTGGCGCCGAGGATTCGCGAGGGAAGCTGTGCGGAGATTGATGATCTTTTGAAGATTATTAGAGGCTATGGGATTAAAGTGGATTGTGGTGACAAGGCATATGCTGTGACTGGTACACAGGAGGGCTTGTCCCACCTCCTTCCGAAGCCGTTCAAACACTTCACTTCCACTATCAATGTTGACTGCACATTAATGCTTGCTGCGGTCTCGGATCTCTCGCATTACAAACATATCACCCAGTCTCCGCAGCATCATAAGGCCATCAGTCGACAGATCGCCGTGGAGCATGAGCGACCTCTGTTGCCCACGGAGCTGTGGCCTGCAATGGATGCTTGTGAACTAGTGTGTGTCGAGGAGGCTGCAACACGGATGAAAGAGATCGTCAATATCATAGGCACCGAGACTGAAAAGTTGCGCATGGAGATTCTGCTCGGCGAGCCCCCTTACGATACATATAGCCGAGAGGATCTCATCAAGAAATACCAGGAGCTGTCCGATTATGAGATACCGGCACACTGGAAGATTCCCGTCAAGACGGTCGAAGCGAAGTCGGTGATTGCATCTGCGAGAGACACTGCAAAACTGCCGCCCGTCTATCAGAAGGTGGCCGAGAACCTCTCCGATATCAACTATAGTGTGTTTCTGTACGGATGGGCTGCGGGACTGGCGACGATCTCCAGCAATCGGACCGTGGTCAAGGAGATTGAGTCCATTATCGAGAAGCACAGAGATGGGGATGACGGCTTGGAGGGACCTCTTATCTGGGTGTGTGATACTGCCAGGAGCTTGATAGGCAAAGAAAAGAATCGAAAGAACTAGACCAACTAGTTCGAAGACTCTAACGTTAGATCGGACGACGACTAAAATGATCGAGCATTCAGAGTCGTCTACATCAGACAGCATTTCTTTTCAATTCTTGCAATTAGTGGTGTTTAGACCAGCAGATCTCATCGCTGTTGTCGGGGTCGTCTCAGCAGGTGATGGGGGCATGGTGGCTCGCTACTTTTCAGAAGATCTGGAAGGGTCCTCTGGAAGCCAGAAAACAGTCTCTTTGTCGGCAGACGCAATCATGTTGTACCTCGGATTGTATTCAACGATGGCAGTCCGTCCGCGATGTGATAGTCTAGTCATTGGCTGCAATAGACCGTTTGGCTCTGGAGGAGATTGTTGTAGATCCCACACTAGCATGTCGGAATGATCTCCCGAACCACCAACCACGTATCGCCCGTCGGGTGAGAAGCACGCATCTCCCTGACCGAGAGGCTTCCCGGTTGTCGATACCGGTGCAGCTCTCCCGGGTGATCCGGCTTTGCCCACCAAGAAGGCCTTGACGGTGCCCTCGAAAGCATCGAGAATGAAATGTCCATGGTAGTCGGTTCCGACAAGCAAGTGCTTGCCATCGTTGGAGAATTCCAAGCGAGTCCACCCTCTACCTCGGGTAGAAGGCGTATACCGTTCTTCGTACGGCGCAAGATCGAAGCTGGAGAAGGGAGCTTTGTCGTAGTTACGGAGGTCGTAGAGAAGGACTGATGCGGTTGATTGGGAGGCAATGGCGATGACAGAGGCGGACGGGTCGAAGGCCACAAGGTATGGAGTTGCGAGTTTCAGCTTTCCTTGCGCATTGCGAGAGCCGAGATCCCAGAGAGCAACTGTGTCGTCCTTGGAGCATGAGATGAAGGAGTCGCTGCCCGGAGACAGAGCTAAGCAGGTGACTTTGTCGGTGTGGCCCTGGAAGTAGCGAATGTAGCCTTCATTGTGAAGGTCCAACAAGCGCAAGGAATCTAGGTCGGTCAGAATGAGGGACAAGGATGGAGGTGCGTGGCAGCAGACATACCATCAACCTTGGTGCTCGCATGAAGGACCTGGCGACTGTGGTGGGTGAATCTGGCTAGATGGGCGCCGTACTTTTTGCTGGGGACCGACTTTGTAGATTTGCCCTCCTTGATATCGAAGACCTGGATAGTTTCATCATCGCCGGATGCCACCAAGTAATCACCCTGGTCATCAAAGTCTAGCGACGTCACATAATTGGAAGTATCCTGCTTGGGGCCTCGAAATGCCTATGATGGACGAAACCGATAATTAGATGAGCGCCCCCGGTCCACAAGAGCCATTGGACTAACCTTGGTAGGACGGAAGCTACGAATGATATCCGAGACCTTCTGGCATTGCAGGATTGGCTGCTGAGGCTGTGGTTGCGCCGTTGGCTGTGGTTGACCTTCCGCCATAATTCTTTGACTTGACTAGATAGATAATGGATAAAGTGCGATTGCGGGGAATAGGATGCAAGTTGTCAGGATGTCCACGATCTTTAAGCTAGCTTACAATCCAGACAGATCCTTTTGCTTCTACCCGGCTATTTCTCCGAGATTCCTCGACCTGCAAGGATTCCACCCAAACTGACCCGAGTAGAGAAGTAGTCAAGGTCGTCACTTGGGGGAAGCAGACGCGCCTGACGATGGATTTTGACGCGTTTGACCGACTTCTGCGGGGTAATATTGTTCCGGCCCGACGCTTATCATCGGCAGTGGAGATGCCGATTGGCCGAGGTCGGAGGCTCTGGACTGCAAAGTGCGGATCCCGTGGCCAATTACTAACCAATTATCGGCTGCGGAAACCAATCCGAGCGGCGTTGGAACTGTCGGAGGGAGGCTTGAATGGCGGAGCGAATCTCACGGCATGAACACCTCAGCTCTGACACCGTTTTGACTTTCTGACAAGTCCATCGCTCACCCTACTCTTCCACTGCACCGTCACTGAGTCTGTCATCTTCCCCTCCTGGGGCACTCAGCATCGCTTCACGCAACAGCCAGGTCGTCTCGATTCTACCGGCGCCCTTGTCGGCCTCGCTTTTGCCCTTCCGCGCGCAGACTCGGTCCACTCCCCTCCGTTAGCGGAGACGAATCTGAACAGATACAATGTCCACAACAACAGGGTACGTGGTGGTGGTGGTGCCTCCAAAATCATCAGATTACGGTCGCGTTAACGCATTCTATCGTTCTCTACAGAGCATTCATCGCAGGAGGTGTTGCAGCATGCGGAGCAGTGACGGTCACTCACAGCTTTGAGACGGTCAAGATTCGGTACAGTCTTCCTCCCCTATCCGGAGTGTCGCGGATTACTCCTCGTCAGCTGTGTCGCCGGATGCTAATTGGTATTATACGAAAGTCTGCAACTGCAGGGTGAACTGCAGGCCAAGCAGGACGCTGCCAAGAAATACCGGGGTGTCTTGCACGGTGTGAAGGTTATTCTACAAAATGAGGGTCCCCGCGGTCTTTTCCGGGGAATAGGCTCGGCTGTACGTTCATATGTCAGCAACTCACGGTATTTGTATAGCTAACAGCCGCTGCAGTATATCTACCAAGTCCTGCTCAATGGTTGCCGTCTGGGTTTCTACGAACCGCTGCGCAAGGGTCTGGCAACCACGATATACCAGGATGCTCAAGTTCAGTCTCTGGGTGTTAATGTCATCGCCGGTGCTGCGTCTGGTATCATCGGAGCTGCTGCGGGTTCGCCCTTTTTCCTGGTCAAGACTCGCCTGCAATCGTTCTCCCCGTTCCTTCCCGTCGGCACCCAGCACAACTACAAGAACTCGTTTGATGGTCTGCGGAAGATCCACTCGACGGAGGGAGTTTCTGGCTTATACCGTGGAGTTGGCGCGGCGATGGTACGAACTGGCTTTGGTAGTTCCGTTCAGCTGCCTACCTATTTCTTCGCCAAGCGCCGCCTGATGAAGCACCTGGGCATGGAAGATGGTCCAGGTCTGCACCTGGCCAGTAGCACGGCATCTGGCTTTGTCGTCTGCTGTGTTATGCACCCGCCTGGTATGTTCTATACGCTTACGACGCGTCTGAGCTCAGCTAACTTGTTTTTCAGACACCATCATGTCCAGAATGTACAACCAAACGGGCAACCTCTACAAGGGGGTGTTCGATTGCTTGTTTAAGACGATTAAGACGGAGGGTGTGTTGGCGATTTACAAGGGGTACTTTGCCCATCTTGCACGTATTCTGCCTCACACGGTATGTGATGTTCGACACCCAGTCTCTTAGGCGATGCACTAACCTGGCTGTAGATCTTGACCCTCAGTTTGGCGGAGCAGACCAACAAAGTCATGCGCAGACTGGAGGATCGGTTCCTGTCTGACTCGTTGAAGGAAAACTTGTAGTCACCGTAGTATAATAGCGACATTGGCATACCCCCCTGAAACTTTGCGACACATATAGAGACGTTTCGGGACATGGTTTTGGTTCTGCATTGTTGAGCAGCGGCAGCATGGGCAGCATTGCGTGATGTGTATGTACATAGGGCGTTCTGTCTTGGGTCGTCATGCTGTGCTCTTAGATTTGGAGATACATTTGGATAAATAGCTTGAATAGATTTGGAGTTGGCCATGCGCAGTACTCGCCTGGTGTTGGAGTACCATATGTGATGCAATCTTCAAGAAGCTTTAGGAAAGTTCTGTCGCATGATGAAGAGAAATGCGGACGCGCGAGAACCTCACCGGACACAATATGGGGAAATGAGCAGTTAATGAGGGTCGACCAAAACAGGATGTGGATACAATGGAGCTCATGAAAGGAACTGGGGCAAGCAACTACGCGCACTAGTCAGTGGTTCCGTGTTGAATCAAGCTAGGAATGATGATTGCATTGCTTTCTTCCGTCGGATGTATAAGCTCGGGATCAGACGCGTCGTGTTTGGTGCCGATGGAACTGTCCATTCACGATCCAAAGCCGAGAATGTAAACAACGAAAGAGTTCGTCAACGATGTCAAAGAAGAACCTTGCGACGATGTTACTTTTCTATCTTGCCCTCAAAGAAAAAAACGAAATCTTTGTCCACTGTATAACCACGGATGATCATGTTGCAGTACTCTCCCGACGCGTCGCAGCTGTAACGTCATCACCGACAGCAAAGACAGGCTGAAAGCCCCCACTGGGGCCAGCTGAAGCCAGCTGGATCTAGAATCAAAGTGGGAAAGAGAAGCAAGGATCCTTCTTCCATTAGGGTCAAAACATCCGTAAATCCGTGGGTGGGTGCAGGCAGCTGCCCAATGTGGATGGGGGGATGCAAGACGCGACGCGTTCAGCACAGACGCTCTTGCTTCTTGGCCGTCGGAGTAACCCAACTCGGGGCTCGGCGATCCAAAATTTCTGTTCAGCTCGGATTAAACCGAGTGGAGATGGCGGATGAGCTCGGCTGATTGATGATGTCGTAAAGAGTACCTAAGCAGACTGCAGGGATTGGTAAGACAGTAAGGTACGGTATAGGTGGGTTGGGAGATGGAGACATGAGACAAGTATCATCATCCAATGATTGGTGTAAATGTATAATGAGAGATGTGAAATCCTATATGATAACTACATATTACTGAAAAGGGATAGAGGGAGAGATTGAATGGATTGACAAAATCGATCGAGGGGCTCAAAGATGGGAGTTCGATCTGATAAGATAGCAGCTGGTTACGACACGCGACTACTTTTTTCACACTAGAGCCTCTAGGCAATCATAGGCATCGACGTGCTCCGGACTTGTCTCCAGGCACCCGCCTCTTCAGGAATGTGGAGAGAGGACAATTTAGGAAACTTGCTGCAGGTCTTGCAGCTAATGATACAGGAATAATGGATCGGTGGAGATCGAAAGACCGGATGAGAATCCAGCCGGTGGTGTGAGGATGGAGTCTGACAGAGTTCAAGACGTGATGGACGCGCCGAACATCAACAACCCGCCCGGATCAATAATTGTTCCTGCCAGCCACCGGGTCCAAAGTCGCGCCAAGTCACGTGCGACGTGACTCGCCCGTCGCGCTAAGGATCACGTCCTCGTCTGCCGGCGAGTATTTCTTGTCGCCTCGCCCTCCCTCGCTGCAGCTCTTTTTCTTCACATCCCACCACCAGCTCAGTCTATTGGAGTGTTTTTCCTGTGTCTGTGTGATCAATTCCTCTTTGACTTCTATCTCCTTCACCTACACACAATCAACACCATGTCTGTACAACTCACTCCCTCCAAGCAAGTATGTGATGTCACGTCTCTCGCCTCCCACCATCGACGCGTAATTAGAGGCAGATAAAGCTAACACGCGTTGCTTCCATAGGCTGCTTCCTCCCTCGAGAACCTCAAGATGAGCGATTCGCCTGTTAAGAAGCTCAACTTCGGAGGCAAGGAGAACGCGCCTGCTGCCGTCGACGTGACCGCCGACAAGCCCGCCGAGAAGCCCGTTGAAGCCCCCAAGGTCGCGCCCGGTATCAAGGAGACGGAGGCCAACGAGCCTCTGCTCCAAGAGAACCCTCACCGTTTCGTTCTTTTCCCCATCAAGTACCACGAGGTGAGTGACACGCGCATTACGCGTTACGCGTAAAGTGGAATTTTTCGCTTCCCGCCCGCGACAATTGGCATGTGCGCTAACGCCGCATTCTCGCACCCGACAGATCTGGCAGATGTACAAGAAGGCCGAGGCCTCTTTCTGGACCGCCGAGGAAATTGATCTTTCCAAGGATTTGCACGACTGGCACAACCGCCTGAACGACGACGAGCGCTACTTCATCTCCCACGTTCTCGCGTTCTTCGCTGCCTCCGATGGCATTGTCAACGAGAACCTCGTCGAGCGCTTCAGCGGCGAGGTCCAGGTCCCTGAGGCTCGTTGCTTCTACGGTTTCCAGATCATGATGGAGAACATCCACTCCGAGACCTACTCTCTCCTCATCGATACCTACATCAAGGAGCCCAAGCAGCGCACCTACCTCTTCGACGCTATTGATACCAGTATGTACCTCAAACCGGGATTGTGATTGGTCAATGGATGCTAACCCCTGCAGTCCCCTGCATTGCCAAGAAGGCCGATTGGGCCATCAAGTGGATCCAGGACAGGGAATCTACCTTCGCTCAGCGTCTCGTTGCTTTCGCTGCCGTGGAGGGTATTTTCTTCTCCGGTTCCTTCGCTTCCATCTTCTGGCTCAAGAAGCGTGGTCTCATGCCTGGTCTGACCTTCTCCAACGAGCTCATCTCTCGTGACGAGGGTCTGCACACCGACTTCGCCTGCCTGCTGTTCTCCCACCTGAACAACCGCCCCAGCAAGCAGGTTGTTGAGGACATCATCGTCGAGGCCGTCGGCATTGAGCAGGAGTTCCTGACTGACGCTCTGCCCTGTGCTCTGCTGGGCATGAACTCCAAGCTGATGTGCCAGTACATCGAGTTCGTTGCCGACCGCCTGTTGGTGGCCCTCGGCAACAAGAAGTACTACAACGCCACCAACCCCTTCGACTTCATGGAGTCGATCTCGCTGGCGGGTAAGACCAACTTCTTCGAGAAGCGGGTGGGTGACTACCAGAAGGCTGGTGTCATGGCCAGCACGAAGAAGGAAGAGGAGCCCAAGACCAACGGTAACGGTCTCAGCTTCGATGAGGACTTCTAAACACCGCAACAAAATGATGCCACTATACCCGGTTGTTGGCACCAGCCACGATATGTTTGATTCTGGGTGTTTACGAGGATATTTGACTATACGCATGGGATTGGCGTTGATTGGATGGGATTGATTCCTTTTTTCCTATAATTGTTAATGTTTGACTCTTGTATTTAGAGAAATGTACATTGGATATTACTTGATGGCTTGAACCTGCACGTAGCATAGGTGTAGTGTAATCCCCCAACCATGAGTGCAGTAATCAATGCACCGACGGGATGAAGATGGATAGCTACATTCTCGCAGCTGCATGAACACCATGTATCCTCACCACAATGCCAAAGCTTTATATGAATATGCACATTTTTAAAGAAACAAGATATCATCCATAGAAACAATGAAATTGAGGAATAAATAGATCACCTCTTCCCCTTCCCCCCCTTCTTCTTCCCTTTCCCTCCCTTCCCAGCTGCACCGGTATTCCCCCCCTCCCCAGCTACCGTCTGTCCCTCAGCAGTAGCAGCAGCAGTAGGAGCATCCCCCATCTCCACATCCCCAGCAGCACCAGCAGCACCAGCAACAGTAGGATTATTACCCAACCCCAACCCCTCAACATCAGCCCCCGCGGCCAACTTCCCCAACGAGGTAATCAACCGGCCCACCTCGGCGCCCTTGTTCGTGCGGTATTTCAAACAAATGCCGGATCCCGGGTGATAGGTCTTGAGTTCAAGGACGGCGATGCGGGGTTTGGGTTCGGTTTCTTCTGTAGATGTGGGTTGTTGGGATTGTGTTGTGGAGGAGGAGGGTTTTGTGGATGTGGATGTGCGGGGGAAGGTGTATTTTGTTGTGATTCTCTATACCGGGATCTTTTTGTTAGTTGTTGTTGACGTGATAGGTAGTTGGGGAGAGGATGTACCGTGTCTGGGTAGGCTTGGAGGAGGAGAGAGGATTGTTCGAGGTAGGATTGTGAGGTTGGGAGGTAGGGCATTTTGGTGGTGGTTGGTTCCTCTGGTCCAGAGGGTGTAAACTTCAGATAGTTGGGGGCGCGGAGTTGAGAGTGGTAAGAGTGGAATCGTGGTGTAGAGGTCAACTGGGTTGGTGATGTGAAGCTGGATTATATTTCTGGTGTTTTGCGGCGCCGCTCGGAGGTGGAAGTTGAAGGTTGGTGGTTAGTTTAGGTGGTGCTTGAGCTAGCGGGCGGTGTGTGGTGCCGCAAGTCGATTGACAGCTCGAACACCCATAGTATGCTACAGCTCGGCAAACTACTACTACTACTACTACTACTCTATCATCTATGACTCTAATCAATGATTCTGGCCAATTCATCGTTATTCATCAGTCGTCCCTCGTATAGATGCCTACTGTTATCCTGTAGGCTATTGTACATACATACACAGCTAATTACATGCTCATATACATCAATCATCCTAATGTCCAGGCCCGTCCTGATCCAACATCATATACACTGTGCATCAGCTAATAGGTCGTGCGCATCGCACACACACTAGTCGCTGCTTCCCATTTCTTGCTTTGGTCGCTCGGAAATTCGTTCCCCGGCAATTATCGCATTTCAACACTTCGCCGTCGTCCCCGTCCCCGTTCGACGATGCATAGTCGCTGCTCAGCGCGCTGCCCAGGCTCATTTGGCGCTCCCCCGGCACCGACAGTCGATGCGGAGTGAGGAGTCCGTTACCCTCGGTTCGTTTGCGATTCTGCACCGTCATTGCATCATGCGCAATTTTATTGTAGAATGCGTAGCTCTGCTCCCCTTGCAACCAGAGCGGGTTATCTTTGTCGCCGCCCTTGGGGAACCAGGTGGTCCCGGCGACGGGCTGCCTGCTGTCAACTGCAGCACCGTTGTGCCCATTCCGGGTGGTGTCTGCGCTGGATCGTCGGCTGTCCATAGAATTTTTATACGCGGAGGGCGGAGGGGAGGTGGTATAGATCGAGCGCGAATCGGGTCGTGCTCCCGTTGAGACTCGTCCCGGGCTGGCGTAGCCCGGCAGAGTGTCGCGCACTGACTTGTGGGGAGACGGGCTGCGGGTGCGCGGCGTGCGCATGCCGGAGCGATTGCCATGTCGGATAACAGAGTTGCGCCACGAAATGATGCGCTCCGAGGGCGTCGTCTTCATGGAATCCTTGCCGATGGAAGAGGCAATGCTGTGGCGCGCCGAGTTGGTGCGTCGTAAGATGCGTCGTGATATCGTGGAATGCGTGTCCCAACTGTCGTAGCGCCGTTTCAGGTAGGCACAGTCTTGTCGCAAGACTTTGATCTTCCCCGCATAGTCTGCCACGATAAGGATGTTCCCGTCCGGGTGCGTGGACCGCGACATGAACGTCGGAGACTCTTGCGCCAGCTTACTAGCCGCCGACATGCGGTTCGATCGTCCATTCTCCTTGTCCGCCTGACTGACGAGCGTCACGGGAGGCGGATTGCAGATATCGTAGATGGGATCCTCGGAAAATCCCAAGACCTGTTTGGCCCGGGTGGGCGCCATGATGGCGGCCGTCACCAGGGCGGATTGCGTGTCAAAGATCTCTACGGCCCGTTTGTCGGCGTCTTTCTCCACGGGCCCCACCGGCCAGACATAAGTGCGGCGATCCTCACTGCCGCAGATGATGTGTTTGCCGTCATTGCTGAAGGAGGCGCGGATCTGGCTGCATGTGTTCTCATTGCCGCGGTATTTGGCCTCCAGCGTCCGGTCGCGAAAGTTGTAGAGTCGAATGCGGGAGTCGTTGCTGGTGATCAGCAGTTTGACCTCGCCGTGCGGGTCGCCATGCGGCAACGACATGGTGTCGATTCCGGTGATTTTGCTGCCCTTGGCGTTGCGACCACGCGCCGAGCGCACGTGAATCTGTCCAACCGCCTTGAGGCCGTCGGTCTCGTAGATATTGCACAGTCCGTTCAGACTGCCCGAGATCGAATGTCGTCCGTCCGGTGTGAATGCCACCGCGGTAATCATGTCGGGGACCGTGGCCACGAAAGCCACGCTCTTGTCGGGAATACTCCAGAGTCGCAGTTTCGTATCCAGCGATCCCGCTAGGAAGAACCGGTCATCGCGTGGGTGGAATTGAATGGAGGTGACGAAATCGCTGTGTTGGAAGCAGCAGAGACACTCGGGTCGGCTGACATGCCACAGCCGGACGGTCTTGTCCATGGAGGAGGATAGCAGGAAATTGTTCTGTTGCCCGCATTAGTGGATGCTACGCATTGCAACCGCCTATTAGTCAGTTTTCATGGTACCTTGCTCCAGCTGAGGTCCAGGATACTGCCGGTATGGCCCGCGTACACCTGGACCGGTTGCGTTCTGAACACTTGTGCGTTGAGTCGTGGCGCATCGTCGTCACTGCCCGGCTCACTGGAGGTCCGATCCTCTGGCGACGCCACGACTTGCCAGACGCGCACCTTGCGGTCCTGCCCGGCGGCAGCCATGTATTTGCCATCATTGGAGAACACTAGCGCCCAGATCGCCTTGCCCGTATATTTTTCGTTCTGCGGGCCTGCCGTGGAGATGGCGTCATGGTCCGAGACGCTGGCCGAGTCGTCGGCGCCGTCCAGCTCCTGAGCCAGGAAGACCCGGTTAAACGTCTTCTCCTTCTTGTAGTGTGCGCGCACGCGGATGTACTTCGGCGGGGGAGGAAATCGTGGTACGAAGCCTATGGGCTGAGCGGCAGCGTCGGGATCCATGCGGCTAGTTTCGGGCTCGGAGACATCGTCCTCGTCGTCCGGGTACTCGGTCTTCTTCTTGCCGGGGATGATTCGACTCAGGAAGGATACCCCTTTCCTATGAAAGGGAAGCCCACCGAATTAGCTGTAGGTTCCTGGGCAGGAACTGCATGGGGATAAGAAGCAACGGAGCGACGGGTGACACAGTGCGGGGTCACGCCGTCAGCCGGGGGGCTGAGAGGGAAACATTGGCTGACTCGGCACCGGGCGAGGCCAACTGGCACTTACTTCTTCTCCTTCGGAGCCTTCGTATACATCGCGGTCTCTCCGCGGGCAGAGCCATGGTCCAACGAGGCGCGTGGATCGCTTCCGCCCAACTCCGCCTCGGTGGAGGCTCTCCCTAACAGCTTCAACGGAATGGTTTTTTGGGTGTTGGTTCGTTTGATGATATGCTATCGCGACGCACAGAGTCAATCAACCGGCCGAGGCGAATCCAGAGGCACAAAATACACAGTATGGAGCCTTACTTGAGATAGGGGATCGATGGCGCTGGAGTCGGCGCTGGACTGGACAAAGGTAGGGGAGGAGGCGAGATTCTTGACGGAGCCGTTGCTGGCGGCCGGAAGGGTGCGGGAATCCTTTCTGGCATGCTGTTGGTATCCGTTCGACGCAGCGGTCACATCGGAGGCGGAGCCTGCACAGGATAATCCCCCGGGCGGAGGAAGTGTAAGCCAACGATGCTCACAATTGTGGATTGATGGATTGGGTCCGATCGGAGGGTATGGAAAAGAAGATGACTGGCCAGCGCGACCGGGCGAGCCTTGCGGGGAGGTAGGGGAGGGAAGGAAGTTCAAGTGGCAGCAGTAGTTATGGTTGTGTTTGGGACGTACCGATCGGAAAACTTTGCGAGGAGCGGAGGAGACTAGGATTGGGAGAACTGGGACTGTGATCGCCGCGATTGAAGATGGTAGGACTATTGGAGGCGGAGGTGGACAAATCGTGGTGGATGATGCTGGACGAGGAGGCGTTGGTGGTGATGATGGCAGGCACGGTCGAGGCCCGCGATGGCCCTTCTTGCTCGTCGCGCATTCCCTCCGCCATGGCTCGGGTGTCGCCGGGAATGGCGCATGGGAAGTGAGTTGGTTGGAAGTCAGACTGAGGAAGGACAAGGACAAGGAAGATGGGTGTGTGGGTGTGGAACTGAGAGGTATCTCTCGGGATAACGATACGAGAGAGAGAGAGAGAGAAGTAGAAGAGAGAAAGATGAGGGAGAGGGAGAAAAGAGCCAGATTGCGGCGGAGGACGCGGAGAGATGGGATGATGGGATGGGATTAAGGATGGAGATGGAGAATACTAGTAAATTAAGATGGAGACACACTAACTCGGACACCGGTTATTAATATCCGAGAATATCCACTTAAGAGAAGATGACATCAAGCAGGGTCTGGAAGGTTGGTTCCAATCCCTCTTCCCACTTGAAGTATTCACTCCTACTAATTGTTTCAGGTGACGGAGAGCAAGATGACGGAAACCCTGGGTCGGATGGGAGGGCCGGTTCTGTGGTTCTTCTCAGCGGTCTGTGCGAGTTTGTTTTATTGGAAAGGGAAAAGGATAAAAAGCCGTTGGGTGCATGCATCATGTCCAAAGCTTGACTTTTTTATTTTTTCCATTTTGCACTCTGGTGGATATATGATAGGTCTTGTCGCTGTATACTACATCACTATGGATGAATTCCTTCCTCCTTCCCACATGGCTGACACATGGCTGGCAGTGATGTAACCAACCACTCTATTCTTATCAAGTCTGTCTGGGTATGTACTTATGGGTATAAATAGTACAGTAGTTACTAGTAACCACAAAATACGAACTTCTCAAGTCCAACTGAGTCAGTGTTCGTTCTTTCCCCCTCCAGCCAAGCTTAATCCACAACTGGCCAATGAAGGCAAAGCCGTTGGTCGCACTGCTCGGCTGGCCTTCCTGGATTGATCCTTTGGGGGTTGAAATCAGAGGTATCTCGGATTCCTCCACCAATCGCTATTTCTTTTTTCTTTCTGCTTCTTCTCCCCTCTCAGGGTCTGGTCTTAAACTTTCTCGGGGTTGCAGTCGCATTGCATGCGTCCTTTTACTACTCCCTCCTGAAGTTTAATATTACCATTATCACACCCGACTATAACACCCAAGCGGCTATGCATTTTTCCCATGATTCGTGTTGCTCCATCGTCTATCTACTAATCAGAGCTTACCACTAGAATAAAACCCCCACGTGCTTCATGATACATGGAAAGAAAATGATCGGAATCAGTTGCACCAACAACCCCCACCATCAATCATATGGTGGCCCAACTTGCGCTTTATGCTTCCTCCACCATCGCCAACTCCGACTTTCCCCGTTCTTGTATCGCTTGCACTTCGATTTCTTCGTCCTCCTTCTTTGCATACGCTACCTGATAAACCGTGTACCACGGCCGTTGGAACAGTCCATCCAGTGCCTCGAGCGATCGGCCCGTCGTGTCCTGTGTGCTGTCAGTTTCCCCGTCGTTTGTCTCTCACTACCCTCCACCGTCACCCAAGGAGTTACTTCACTTACCGGCATCGCAAAAAACACATACACCAGCGAGACAAGGCAGATGCCCGCAAAGAATGCAAAGGCTCCCCATTCCTCCATTACGTCCAGTAAGTCAGGCGTCGCCCGCGTGCACCCAAACGCGAACAGCCAGTGCCCTGCCATTCCCATCGACAAGGCCAGCGATCGGATCCGGATGGGAAATATTTCCGATCCGATCAGAAAGGGCATCGAGAACCATCCGATCACCCACCCAACCCCGTGCACAAAGATGGCTGCGATCGCTGCTCTCGAGGCATGCGTCGCGCTGGCCGCGTGGAGGATGGTCGTCGTCGACATCTGTCGCGAAATGCCCAGGTAACAAGCAAGATATGCCAGCGTCACGATCTGAAGGGTGATTCCCGCCATAAGAGACCGTCGTCGGCCTACAAAGTCCACCACTACGAGTGAGAAGATCAGCAAGGCGGCAAACTTGACCACGGCATAGAGGGCCGTAGTCAGGGACAAGGCATCCCCGGTCGTCCCCAGATAGCCTAAGATCGTGGGCAAGTACTGCGTGATGGCGTTGCCTCCGGACCATTGCGAAAACAGATGTGCCAGCATCACTAGACAGAACCGACGCCGGTTCTCCACCGGGACAACCGTCTCCTTGATTAGGTGCCATTGTGATGTGCCCGAGGCCGCTTCTCGCTCCTGCAGGATCTGAAATTCCATGACAGCAATCTCTGCGACTACAGTTGGGTGACTCGACGGCAAATGACGCAGCTTCGCCAGTACCGATACGGCCTGCGTTCGCCTACCCACGTACAGCAGCCACCGGGGAGATTCTTCACAGACCAAGAGTCCCAGGCCCCAGACTGCGGCAGGGACCAGTTGGATCAAGGTTGGGAACATCCACTGCATATCTGTTCCATCGTAGTTCTTGGTAATACCATAGTTGATGAAGAATCCAAAGACAACTCCCAGTTGCTGACATGCGGCAAACTGGACTGCGAGCAGCCCGCGGATGGTCTTAGGGGCAACCTGCAATACAGTCAGTTTACCCCAGTCCTCTTTCAAGTATCATTTGTGTACCTCGGAAATATACATCGGAGGGGTCACAGTCAAGCCGCCCACCCCAAGACCCGCGATCAGTCTCGATGCGTATAGTCCGGACAGGTTCCCACTACAGAGACCCTGTCCCAACACTCCAGAGATATATACTAGGGTCGACAGTCGCATCGTCCACCGCCGCCCAATTCGATCATTGAAGGGTAAACACTACAGTCGCTGTCAGCCCGACATATATTCATTTCCTGAGTAGCTAGCTTACTAGCAGACAGCCCAGAGTCATTCCAGCCGTGAACATTGACACAATCCAACCTTTAGTATTGGCATATTCGTCCGGGGATTGCTGGCCGAGCCCGAATTTGATCCGAAACCGAGATTGCACGACCAGCGATGCGATGTTCGCTGCGAAGATCAGCACCCTGCATGACATATGATCTTCACTCTCTACCTTCATCGAACCCCCTACTGATTCCAGACAGTGCGAAAATGGCAATGTTCATCAACAAGTACCAGTTGAAGACCCCCCGGGGGGAGTCCCGGATGGCCTGTCGGGTTTCCGCAACGAGCCCCATGGTTGGATTCAATTCCTCCCATGAGGGGCCCCATTAGTGAGCTTATATATCCAACCGAAGCCACTCAGTATGGCCATGTCTGCGACAAAATCGCGCAGGGCCGTGGTGTGGCGGAAAATATCTCATGACCCCTCCAGCAACAATGCGAAGTAAGGAGCACTCCCTCACGGAGGCCATCGTGCGTTTGGTATGTGCTATAGCCGAGTTTACCAGGGTCTAGACGGCACTGGGCTGGTTTGACAGGTTCTTATCGGCGAACACGATCGGGCCTCCGCATTCCATGAGTGCCTTGTGCGACCTGGAAATGCACATTAGGGGATATAATAGTTGATACAGCATGGTGTTACATCGCAAGTTTGAGTCTGAGTTGCATCCTGAGCCGGTCCAACTGGAAATAACGGTCTCTTACAGGCTTTTGCCAGTGCTGTTGCTGCGTATATGCTGGAAAACCCTGTCCTCCCTGCCGCGGACGCAAGGGTCAGAAGTGCTTGGTGTAGAAGTGGAGTGCCAACCGGGTTTTTTAAGGTCACAAATCCGGCTACCACTAGCTATCGGCCGGTAACAGCCGATAGCAGCCTCCATGACTAGGATGTTAGAAGCTTGATTTCTCGTCTACTGTAACAGATATGCTGCATGAACATCACCTGCCTACCTGATACCTCGGCTAGAAGACATTCCTGGCACATTTGAAAGTCGATAGCGTAACGACCGTCTCTGTTGATATAATGGATCTGCAATTGCATATCACTTAGCATATGGCACGTTGAGATTCCGTGATCGACCGGTAGTCTATTCTTAGCCGTCGGCGCTTACCCACGCTTCCCCGGTTGTCGATCCATCGTCATTCCCTCAACCCTCTTCTACCTCTGTCCACACACTCCTCAGTCTACAATCTCACCACAATGTCCTCTCCAGTCACCAAAACTGCTCCTCCACCTCCACCTCCACCTCCATCAGACCCCCGCACGAAAGTATCCCCAGTCATACGAAATCTCCGAACCGTCCCGCCCCGCTCCCTGACAGTCCCTCAACCACCTCCTCCACCCACAACAACAGCCCCAACAGGTCCATACTTCCTCTACGGCACGTTGATGGATTCTTCCATGCTACAAGACATTCTATCTCTGGACACAGATCAGGAGATAGATCTACGACCTGCGTATGTAACAGGCTATACCTGTAGACTGTGGGGACAGTACCCGGCTCTAATACCGGATGATACTTCTTCCTCGGTAGTCAAGGGGGTTATGTATCGTGTGGAGTCTGTCGAGCATGGGATAAAGTTAGCAAATTATGAGACGGGATGGTATCGTGCTGAACCTTGTGAGGTTGTGTATACGGATGGGAAAGAGCCTGGGAGGGAGAATGGACACGTGTTTGTGTTTGTTGGGGAAAAAGGGGAGTTGGGTGACGGAGTGTTTGATCTTAGGGTCTGGTTGGGGAGGATGGGGAGGAGGGGGGCGTTGGAAAGGTTGGGTAGACTGGATAGGAAGTGAGTCCGTTGTTGTCTATGCCTGATACCCTCACGAGAGATATAGTATCTGGAGCAGTGTTGATCGTAGTATCTGGTTGCGACTAGTCGAACTGCACTTGCATACGCCATCTTCCTGCTACCAAGGTAGTCAAGCTAGGCTTTATAGAGGATTTGTGCCCTTTCATGAAGATAAGTACTTTACACATTCCCGATAGCGTATCTCGACATACGAAATCAGATTCTAGTTTACACTTCAGTTATATACATTATTTGATTGCACATCACAGCAGCGACTTAGCAGGCGCAGCCGCCGCCAACAAAGGCACCAGATCAGGATCACCCTTCTCCATAGCCCTCTTGTACGCCGGACGCTGTCCGATACGCTCCAAATAGCGCACAATATGAGGATACTCCTCAAGGCTGTAGGGAATAAACAGCCGCAGCGTCGTCAGATGGAAGACAGACACGCAGTCTGCCGCGGTGAACTCCTCTCCAGCCAAATATGTGTTCTTGGCCAGTTGCTGCTCCATCGCCTCACAGGTGGCTTTCACCCGTGATTCAGACATCTTGTAGACAAAGTCCTCTTCGGATGGGGTACCGCGTATCCGACTGAACAGCATCCCCATGAAGGATGGCATTGTCGATCCCTGTGCCCGGTGCAGCCAGAAGACGTAGTCTGCGTACTTAGGGTGGTCTGGGGATAGAACTAGACGGCCCTTGCCGTATTTGGTCAGGATGTATTCGATGATGGCCATGGTTTCGCCTAAGGCGACGCCGTTGTCTTCAATGATGGGGGCAGTGCCGGACCAGTGGAGCTTGCGGTACTCATCTGGGGCTTGGAGAGTGGGCGGTTGGCGGTTGTAGCATTTCAGAGTGTAGGGGATCTCGAGCTCCTCGCAGAGCCAGGTGATTCTCTCGGATTGAGAGAGGCGGAGGTGATGGATTGTGAGGCCGGACATGGTTGGGATGGTGGTGTTTATGCGCTAGAGTTTGGATAGATCGTGGCCGGGATACCGAAGGCTGGGGAGTCGGGAATGGGTTCCATGGGTATTTATCTTGAACATGGGGACTCTCGTTGATCGGAAGCCGGATGTTCTTGATTAGTGTTAAGCTCCGGTCGGATTGCCTGTTGCCGAATATCAGGCCAGAAACATAAGACAAAAGTGGATCCAACTGAATGGTAGAGGATTTATGCATAAAGCAAGTTCCACATCTTTATGCCGTTTCTTTACTACCGGGGTAGTAATCCCGGATCATCATTGATCAATGTAGCTTGCTTCATAGATGATTGTATATGGTCCCATTATCAAGTCATTACTTAGGAACTCATCATCATCTCCATGTTCTATGCGAGTTGCTAGCCCACTTCGGTCTCCGTGGGGTGGGTGGACGGGCAGCACAGGTGCATACTGGGGTGGTCTGTACTCTGAGCAGAGTGAAGCTGAAGATTAGGTAGTTGATGAAAAAGACATTCCTCGGCTGTTCTAGCCTGAGCTTTACTGATAAAAGGCATGGGGAAAGTTGGTGACTTGATCAGGTGCACAAGAAGCAAAAAGAAGGAATAAGCATCGGGCTTGATCTCAAGGCCGATCGGGTGGCGCTTTAGTCATCTCGGGGCTTGGAGCCACTCCGATCGAGGAACTCTCGTTGAGACAACCAATCGATCACAGAACTGATCTGTCAAACTATGAGATTGATAAGACCGAAACCCGAGAAGCTGACTTGATGGTCTTAGATGATGCTGATGATTATGTGAAGATGGTTGTAGAAGACTTGTTCGGAGTCACATCATGTCATCCTATCTTAGTATATATATCACGATAGAAGCAGTACCAAGTTCGACATCAGTTCATCATCATCTTCCAACACCGTCTTGACTATACTTAGTACTATTTTCACTAGAGTTACACACATCGACTACTCCACACATCCACCATCATGACCGCGGTTCTGATAACAGGCGCGACCGGCAAACAGGGAGGCTCTCTCATCCGAAACCTCATCTCCCGAAAATCTCCCTTGGAGATCTTAGCCGTCACGCGAGACTCCTCTTCTGCTTCGGCTCAACGGTTGAAACAGCTGTCTTCCAACATCAAACTAGTAGAAGGCAACTTGGACAACCCGGCAGACATCTTTCGCAATGCACGCGCCCAGACATCGTCTCCGATCTGGGGTGTCTTTAGTGTTCAGGTAGGGGTTTCTCCGCTCTTTCAATCTTCATCCCAGCAATGAGATACTAACAGTTTCTGCTAGGTGGCCATCGGCAGCAACGTCGATGAGGAAGCACAAGGAAAGAAACTGATCGATGAGGCCCTCAAGCAAAAAGTCAAGTACTTCGTCTACAGCTCCGTGGATCGTGGCGGGGAACGTTCCTGGAACAACCCGACCGATGTTCCTCACTTTCTGAGGAAGCATCACATCGAGCATCATCTGGTGAACAAAGCTAAGGGAACCGATATGGACTGGGTTATTCTGCGCCCCGTGGCCTTCATGGATAACATGGTCCCTGGTTTCCTGGGTAAGGTCTTTGCGACGTCCTGGAAAATGGCACTGAAGGGGAAGCCTCTTCAGGTGGTTGCTGTCAGCGACATTGGTCACTTTGGCGCAGAAGCCTTTCTTAACCCGGATGAGTACAAGGGTCGGGCAATCTCGTTGGCGGGAGATGATTTGACCTTCGATCAGATGGCACAGGTATTTCAGCAGAAGACCGGTCAGCGGATACCCATGACATTCCAGTTCGTGTGTTCCTTGCTGTTAGCTGCTATCAAGGATATGGGATATATGTACAGATGGTTTCATGACGAAGGTTACCAGGTTGATATCGGCGAGCTGAGGAAGAAGCACCCGGGATTGAAGGACTTTGGGGATTGGCTTGAACAGGAGAGTGATTTTGTCAAGCGATAGATTATGCTGGTGCCTATTTTCGGTTCTACGGGATATTTTAATGTTTAATGCTGTTTGTGCTTACTTATGCTCTTGATTTGAGCAATCTAATTCAGTCAAGTATTCAATATAGTTGGTTTCCCATGAGTACAAATGGGCTCAACGACACACTAAATGTGTATGTGAATGTGAGCACCAGGATGGGGCTTCTCATATCGACGAACGACCCCTGCTAATGAGTAATCCTCAAACCAGACCATATGCATTGGCCACGATAATCTCCTTGAGGCTGCTCCATCCCGGCTTGCCCATCTCTTTAAGTAGATCTTCCGACCGCCTCGAAGGCTTAACGTCCAATAGATCTGCATCCTTATCCCGAGCAGGCAAATCCGTTGGCAGCTCGCGGTTCGGGAATATGGTCCGATAGATGGTAGCTAAATCGTTCCAGAAGAAAGGCCAGCCATACGCGAACAGGCGTTCATTTTGGACCGTGGGATTGGTCAAAGCCGCGACATGCAGAAGTGCGGCATCTTCAATGCCCACACAGTACCCTCCTTCAGGGTGAATTAGCTTCTATTCTTCGTATCGGTTAGGGTTAAAATGCGGCTCATACGTACCATTTGGGAGGTTGGCCTTCACATGTTCGGAAACTGAGGCCCAATCATTCCTGATGATGGCTGCTGGCCATGATAGTGTGGAAGGGAACCCTTGATTTTCTGGGTCGAGAGAGGCACCATAGCACAACGAGGGTAGAACTGGACATGATAGTTTAGAACGTTGGGAAATAATTTTGATGGTATAGGGAGAGATGTGCTTACCGGTATTTACCACGAACCCGGGCTTGTGCTCTCTCACCCATTCCCAGATCCCTTGCTCTCCCAAGGCTTTGCTTGCGCTGTAGATGTCAAACCCTCTTCTCCATTCAGCAGGAGACCCCGTTTTGGCTCGCTGAATGGCGGTTTTGTTCCAAGTTTCCGAGGTGATCACTGTCTTGCCATCCAGATCATCCAAGCCCATTGTGTTAGCCGCTTGGCAAGAGGAGGTGTAGACGAAACGCTTGACGCTGGGCTCGGCTGCCGCGGAGGCAAGGACATTGTGGTCCAGCTGTTTTATGGATTCGAATACCTCGTCCGGACCATCGTTTGGACCGGCAAAGATAGTCACTACATGTGCCACTCCCGAGACACCTTTGGATTGTACAGTTGAGCACCTAGCTAGTGAGGTATCGTATGGGAATGACGTATTGTGTACGAACCTTTCATAGCTTCGTCAAAAGCACCCGGACGCTGTATGTCCTGGACCTGAACCAGCTCAAAGCTGTCTTTTCCATACTTGCCACGGAAAAGATCTCCGAGCCATTGGTGTCTCTGCGCACTCCGCACAGTTCCCCTGACACGATACCCGCGACTAAGCAGCCGATCGGCCACATTGGATCCGACCAAGCTATTGGCTCCAGTCACCAGGACCCGTGATCCATGAGGGATAGCTGATGTTCCAGAGATGGTCATTGTAAGGATGATGTTTCTGCAACGGTGTCACGATGAATATGACTGCATGCCTACCGCGATCAGAGAAAGTCTCGCAGTTAAAAGTATCCCAGATGCCACGTAGTGCGGTGGGATAAGGTCCACCCAGTGATTCAAAAAGAACTCACTACTGTATTTTTGTAGCAGTAGTGCAGCAGTGATGGCCCCACTGATAGCCACGAACGCAGACCTTCATTTCATGTCTGCCACTCTGCCTGTCTTCTGGAGCCCACTTTGCCATTGTCAGGGGGGTTGACTAGGGTCGGAGACGGGAAGCATCTGATTGTACCCACCAGCCTCTCGGAGGAGGGAGGCGTTTAGTCGAGAAATTACATAGAGGAGACTAGCGTTATTGTGGACCTCGAAGGTAGGGCAAGCCTCGGGTGAACATGTGGATTTCGATGCCCGCTCATATCCATCAGAACACCCGCTCTCCCTTGACTTCTAAGCACCACCAACAGCACCAACATGGGTCATTCGAAAATTAGCCTAAGCGGGTTGACTCGAGAGACACTGCGTGAGTGGATGTTGCTTTCGGGAAACGGACAATGTGCTTTGGAGATCAGGGGTTGTGCCTGCTTGCTTCGATCCCAGATGAGGCAACCCGTTCAATAAGACCCCTTGAAAGTCATCGTTCCTCGCGGACATATACCGAGATGCCATTTTTTGCTCCGTGCAGTCAAGGTTTGGGGTGGAAATGGTGGCAGCAAAGTTTATTTCGCGCGGCGGATTATGATTATCAGTCGTCCAAGATTTGACCGAACGTCCCGCAGATATCCCGAATTATTATAGTTAGTCCATGCTCTGATAAATCATGGAGACATTCTGTTGTGCTTGTTGTTGATGTTGTTGCTTATCCAGTGGCCTGTTGATGACTGCCAGGGGGGCAACAGGCAACAGGGATGAATGAGTCAAGCGGGCTAAGAAGCCGCTAGTGACTTAGTAACTGTTAACTAGTGACCACTCATCGATCAAGTAACGAAGTACTAGATACAAAGTGACTCTGAATTGACCCTCACTTTCCCCGCAAAAGCAATTCATTGCTCCCCTTCCCCCAAATCCACCCTCCCCCAAGGCCCATCCACCATGTCCGAATCGGTCCCGGAACTACGCTTCCGATCGGGAAATGTTCCAACGCGCTATTTCAAGGCATGTCGGTGGTGTCGCAAGCAAAAAATGCGCTGTGATGCCCGAAATCAGGTCCCTTGCGCCCGTTGTCGCGCCGTGGGCCGGGATTGCATTCTGGATCCGGTTGAGAGCGCAAGGCGACAGAGTACCCGACGGTCATCGCCGGCAACTCGTCCTATTAGGTGGGAATATACCTCTCTTAGAGCATCTACGGAATGAAACCGAACTAATATATAGCTTGAACACAGGCGCCAACAGGCAAGGTCTCCTTGGACCGAACCACACGGCTTCGGGAGTCCTTCTCCTAGAGAACAGGATTACTCTACATCCACTACAGTACAAGATGTGCCAATCAACGCCTCGCTCGATTCGCTTCCAGAGTCTACTGCCGCAGCGGATTTGAGTTCACCTGGAGCAGCAGAGCGACATGCACCGGAGCCCCAACAGTTGAGTCCTAATGACATGATCGCCCCGGTTTCCGTGATGCACTCTATGTCGGTCAATCTACTGGGATCGAGCAGCGTGAGTAGTTTGGAAGTAGTCATCGACTGCATCTTGTTGACGGTTCGCAGATCTTCATGGACAGCTCCAGCAAAGCGGATCCTAAGAGCGATATCATCGCCCGTGGGATCATCAGTGAAGAGCATGCACGAGTGATGTATGACCGGTATGGTATCTCCCTGAATGGGGCATCTAATGATTCAATGCTAACAGACTGTCAGCTTCATGGGTGGCAGTAAGAACTTTCTGGCTCTGTTCGATCCCATTCGGGACACATTCGATTCGGTCCGCTCTCGCTCCCTTTTCTGCTTCTCAGTCATCATCTACCTCGCAAGTCGGGCTGTGATGGACTTGCGGAGTGATACTCATCTTCAACGTGTTCTTCAAGACGAAGCGCAGAGACTGGCCGAGGATAGTTTCTTTGAGCGCCCCACCAAAGTTGAAACCGTACAAGGAATGATTCTGCTGGCGGCCTATTCTGAAAAGACGTGGTTTTCAACCGCACTCATCTTGCGTACCGCCCTCGATTCCGGGCTAGAGAAATCTTTAGATGCCTTACTGTCTCAGGAAGACGTGCCGCGCAGTTCTTTGTCGGCTTCCATGGAAGACCGTAAGCTAGTGTGGCAGACCAGGACTTGGCTAATCAGCTTCACACTGGAACTAGACGTGGCGTCTGGAACAGGCCGCAAATCACGAATTGATGCAGTGGACACGATGAAATTGCGCAAATTCCTCGAGTATCCGCTATCCTTACCCTGTGATATGCGCACCATTTCCATCATCGAGATCCACCAGCTCCGAAGTACTATTGTCTCCCCGGAGGAATGACTGTCTGCTGACTAGAGTTCAGGCCAATCGCGCATTTCGATCGAGAACGCCAAGACCGTTGATGAAATTGTATTGGTTGAGCTGCCTGCGGTCATGAAAAGACTGCAAAACTGGTGGAACACATGGGATGAAATCCATGGCAGTAAGTGCTCAGATGCAAGAAGGCCGTCAATCAGTGACCAGTAGTAATGGATTGTAGACAACGCCTTTCATGCTGGTGCCTTCCAGCGCTGTAGTCTGAAGTTGATGTTGAACTACGCCCGAATCTTCGTCCTATGCGCCTCCTTGGCCCGGATTCAGAAACTCCAATCCGGTGCTGCTGATCCCAACTCGGAGACAATAGGCGACAAGGATGTCTCACAATTGTGGCGCGCTCTCGCTACGACCATCATGGATCAATTGGATTGCTTCATTCAAGAAAATGCCTACCGCTGCCAACTCACGTGGGCTCCTACCTACCCAGCCCTGACCCTTGCCTTCGTCAGTAAGTTGCACGAGACTCTGAATGTGGAGGCACGATTGCTTTCGATAGGTCGGCTAACTTGAAAAGCAACGTTCGCTCTCCGGATTGCTCGATGGCGTCCGGACTTGATCGATCAGGATCTCCTCCTTGAAAGGGCCCAGCTGATCTGCGATTTTCTCAAGCAGCCGCCCTATCCGGATATCCACCGTACCGTGTCCATCTTCGTCAACTACGGTCGCGCCCTAGTCGCTAGCCAACGAGGGCATGGGGACTACTGTGCAGAAGTGATAAAGCCCTCAGAACAAGCCAATGGGCAGTTCTCATTAGGTAGAGGGACATACGGAGTCCCGGTGGATGTGTCAACTTCTTCCGGGATGGCATCCGAACAGGTGAACTACCCGGCAGGCGCAATGACCCCTCAGGCCGACAAGGATAGTGGTGCCGCTGGGGTACCCAATGCTGAAAGAAATGCGCCTGGCAGACAGCTCCCTGCCAGACTGCCGGGGCCAATGGAAGCTCCCAATTGGTCGATGTGTAACCCCATTGCCGATTCATTCGGCTTGTTCGAAGAGGAGCAGAACGATATCTTTGACTTCTTACCAATGATGCCGTCAATTCCACAATAGTCCAGGAGTGTAGCAGTGGTTGGCTACCTATGGAAGAACTATATCCTTCATTCATGACGGGCCTGTCCCCCTCAATAGACGTGTAAGCTGGGTACGCCATCAGGAATTCGACCCATTCGGGGTCGAACCATGGACTACACGAGGCGATCAACTAGGTATGCTCGTCGAAACGCTAAAGGTAGAAAGAAAGATAGCTCGAAAATGCGGTAAGGAACTTCCAGGGGAATATGTGCGGTGCTTGCGTTGCCGAACCCAACCTGCCCGTTATCCACCCAGCAGGAAATTTGGCGCATAGCATGCCGCTTGCTGATCAATCCTTGATGGGAAAGGCTGGATCTGATCCACCGAGCTTGGGCAGACTCGCCAAGGACAGACTTTTGCTTTCAATGACAGATGGTGTGGCCTTGAAAGCCAGTTTTTGAACCCGGCTCCTGATCGGCGCCGTCGCCGGGATGCTCTGTGGCCCCGGTGCCGGACCGGCCCCGATGCTGCAGTTGCAGAAGATGAAGATCCAACATCGCTCATTGGGCCACGAGGATGTATTGACGGTCCAGATTGTAGTGGACTCTTGTCTGCGAAAGGCCCTTCAGATAACTGACTAGACTAGTCAATCATTGTGAAAATTCAGTGACTCATTTCCTACTATGAGGGCTCTATAAGGGTTCAAAGCCCGCGCGTCTCGTCAACGTTTGAAGGAGACACCGGGAAGTTCAATTTGAAAGGGGGCTCAATCTGCTGTGATACACGACGCGCAAGCCTCAGCTATGGCTACAGAACGCTGTTTCACTGCCCCCATCGGAGAGATCGACCATTCCGGTATGACCTCATCGTTGCCTGTCCCTTGCATTGCTAACCCTATTTCCCTATCCCCTGAATAGATCCAAATTGGAACCGGAGGAAAGATGCCATCCCATCCACCATCGTGATAGGGAAAATGTGGGCAGACGGTGAAGGATACAGACTCACCCGCTTGACAGAAGATCAAGTCCTTGTGGACTTTGATCATGGTTCTGCAAGAAATCCAGTCAATTGGACTCATGTGAGTGATCAAAGCCACGGGTTATGGATGCTTAAGCTAACAGCAAACCATCTGCAACAATCAGGGAAAGAAAATGTTCACCGTTCTCACAGCACTCTTCCTAGTGCTCAACTCCGGAATATCGTCCTCTTTACCCAGCAATGTCGTTCCAGCCATGATGCGAGAATTCAATGTTACAGGTGACCTGCAGAAGGTTCTGCCCACCGCCGTCTTTCTTATTGGCTATGTCGTGGGTCCCTTGTTCTTCAGTCCATTGAGCGAGACAATCGGGAGGAGACCTGTTCTACTTGGTAGCTTCACCGTGTTTCTGTTGGGCACGATAGCGTGTACCTTTGCCCCAAATTGGCCTGCAATGTTGGTGTTTCGATTTATATGCGGAGCCATGGGGGCCGCTCCTCAAACCGTAGTAGGTGGAGTCTACGCTGATATGTTTGAGACTCCACGTGCTCGGGGCCGAGTCATGGCATTTTATATGGCGGTAGGCTGTCTCCAATCGTAAATATGTGGGAAAGACCTCTAACTATCACTTAGGCGGCGAGTTTTGGTCCGATTGTTGGTCCCATAATTTCCGGTTGCAGCGCGCAGTACGGCTGGCGATGGACATTCCGCATCGACCTCATCCTTGTCGGCTGTAGCTGGCTTAGTTCGCTTTTCCTGCCAGGTGCGTGAAGCATACAGCGCCGACATCTACTCTGCTGATGCTCGCAAGAAAGCTAACATCCAAGCCAGAGACATTCAGTCGGGTTATTGTGAAAAAGCGTGTCGCCATACTAAACAAGCAGTCATCCACCCATAGTTATGTCTCCCAGCGGGAGCTCCAGAGCACCGCAATTCAATGCAGCTTGAAGGAGACCTTGACGAGACCCATCACCATGATGTTCACCGAGCCAATTATTCTGTTCAGCGGAATATATCTGGCTTTTGCATATGGGCTTATTTTCTTTTGCTTCCAAGCATACCCTATAATCTTTGAAGGTACTTACCCACTTATTCTTTCTCTGTGAAGTGAATGGATCGACGAACTATCGCTTGGCGTGTGAAGGTTTGCTGACTCGATCAACACAGGGACCTACGGGTTTGATGTGAAGCAAACATCGCTGTGCTATTTACCCAGTAAGTGCCTTCTCGAAAATCAATTATTATTACCACCTACTAAGCCTGTTAGTCGGAATTGGCGCGGCATCCTCTGGTTTTGTCTCACTTTATTACGATGTCATCTATGAGCGAGCCAAAGCACAAGGGAAAAGATGGACAACCATTCCAGAGCTACAGCGACTCCCGGTAGCCTGCATTGGCGGACCTTGTCTTACCATTAGTCTCTTTTGGCTAGGATGGACCGCCAATCCGCAGATCTATTGGTTGGTGCCTGTGCTCTCGGGTCTGTTCTTTGGCTTCGGATACCAGATAATCTTTATTTCGCTGTTGACCTATGTCACCGATGCGTACAAGATCTATTCCGCTAGCGCCCTAGCAGCATCTGTAATTACGCGGAGCATTCTGGGTGCCGTCTTCCCCCTGGCAGCTGATCCGATGTATTCAGCTCTGGGAGTCGGATGGGGAACATCGGTCCTGGGCTTTGCAAGCCTGGCTTGCATTCCCATTCCGGTGGCCTTCCTCTATGCTGGAGAGTGGATTCGCAAGAGAAGCACATTCTGCCAGCAGCTGCTGAAAGATGAAAGTGCCACAGAAGATAATCATACCACACGCCCTGTGACTCCGGAAGCCGTTTGAATTCTTCGTGTCGCCCAAGAAGGTTTCGGTCTCATGTCCTCCGTCCATCGATGGTGGGAATATATCCCTCATATATCCGAAAAAGCTTGTTGTGTTTTCAGATCTCAAGCCTGCACGCAAAACTGCCCAGGTCTAATGACTACGTTCCTCGACTTGACTGACAAGGAGTGTCCTCTACCTAGGACAGTCTACTCTCATTTTCTTCTTCTTCTTCTTCTTCTTCTTCTTCTTCTTCTTCTTCTTCTTCTTCTTCTTCTTCTTCTTCTTCTTCTTCTTCTTCTTTCTTTCTCGAACAGGATCTTTAATCTTACCATTTATACTGACGACAGTCAGCCTTGCACAAATGTTGCACAGCAACCGTTGAGGTTCCGCCAAGGGTGCATGGAAGTTTTGGTTATGGATAATGAATTTCGGTAGCATAAAATTTACGGCCTAATATGAACGATAGACCTAGATCACCTCATGCATATTCAATTAGTCTTACTGCACGCAGCTTTCAATATATATGCTTTCTGTTGATTGTTGCCCACCGGTGGCTCGGAGCTCATTCATGTAGAACCACCGGGCGTTTCACAGTGTCATGTCAGTGTCACCTATTCAATTGTCACTAAATGCTCTGCAACTTTGGGACCACGTGAGTGTTTGTACCCGGGATTGCGAATCAATTGTCATGAGGGTGGCTTCATATCGCCTTTCTTCCTCCTTTTCTCTTCTGCCCCTACAATTCCTCTACTCCTTCTTTCTCGGTCTTTCTTATCATTTGAAAACCGCCCCGGTCCGCCATCCAGGACTGACCACGTCGTCGCGATTGGCCATGAGACTTGCAACTCACCTCATTCTATGTTTGGCTACAATCGTGTGCGCCCGAGAATGGGCGACGTCCACGGACATCGAATCTCAACCATTGGAGGAAGATGATGAGGTAGTCTCGATCCTGAAAGATGTAAGATAGAAATCTGAGGGATAATTGAGAAAGGCGCAGCTAATGAATACTGTGTAGGATGCGGTCAATATAACCTACAAGATTGGGTGTGACGACAGCAGTCAAATGACGACGTGCGATGCGGGCGAGGAAATAACTGTTGTTGATGGGGGACCACCGACCACCGGTATCCCAGATGGCTTGATAGTTGTTGACGGGGACGAGCTGATATATTCGTAAGCGCCTGCGTCTGTGTTTTTTCTCTGTACTTGCCCACTGAATATCACTGTTGAAGGCCTGTAACTAGTCCCCATATGATGACACAAACCTTTGGGGAGGAGCACGACACAGTGTCCACAGATACCACACCTGAACCATCTCAAACCGAGATCTCCATGTCGTGGAGTAGCTCCAGCCTAGCTGTCTCTACACACATAGTGAGTTTAACAACAACCGGATCGGTCAGTGACACTTCAAGTATCGGGTCTAGTGTTGGGAGTATTCAAGGCAGCATGAGCCTTATGACTACTCAGAGTCGGGCATCCAGTGCCTCGACCAGCTCGTCCGTACGCAGCACTGGAGCAGCACCGTTAGCGACGGGAGAAGTGGCCATGATGGCTGGTGGTGCTGCAATGGCGTTGCTGGTAGCCGTGTTGTAAGGAGGTACTTTGTGGGGTTGTGATACTGCTGCTACTAGTTTTGAGGCATAAGTTGTTATGAGAGCACAAGTCTGTATCAAGAAGATGCCTCGCAGTGGGGACCACTGCCGGTCGACTAATAATAATGCACACCATTGACTCTCTGGCTCCGCCCTCATCTTCATCATAAGATCGTAAATTGACTCTACGATGCAATCTGACGCACAGCTGATCTTTAACGCCGATTGCCGATCGCGCAATCGGCAATACCACCCCGCAGTATCACGGCCACCCTCTATAAGTGAAGCCCAACCTACTACTGCCTTCTGCACTCCCCAATTGCATATATCTTACTCATAATGACAATCGCACAACTACAACCAAGCTTCTCGGATCGAACCGATTTCGACAACGCCTCTCGAGGCCTGATCGGCTCCCTCGAACCCGGCATCATCCGAGCAGCCGATGGTCGACCCGTCTACAATAATGATGCCTACCACTTCCTGCAAGAGTCAGAATGCCCGGCTACTGCAAACCCAAAGCTATGGAGGCAGGGTCAATTAGCATCCATGCAGGGACTGTTCGAAGTCACCCCTGGGATCTATCAAATCCGCGGCCTAGACCTCGCCAACATGACCGTGGTCGAAGGGACCGAGGGGGTTATCGTCATCGATCCTCTAACTTCCGTGGAATGCGCTGCTGCTGCTCTAGCCCTGTATAGGAAACACCGTGGCGATAGACCTGTCACTGGGGTGATCTACTCTCATTCCCATATAGATCACTTTGGCGGAGCGCAGGGCGTGCTCCCCGCCGCTGACGCACTAAGAGCGAGTCCCATCCCGATCGTTGCACCGGAGGGATTTGTAGAAGAAGCTCTGAGTGAGAACTTGTACGTCGGTCCGGCCATGCGTCGTCGCGCCCAATACATGTACGGAGCTCAGCTACCCAAGGCTGCCGACGGGCAAATTGGCTGTGGCATTGGCATGACTGTGTCGTTGGGAACAAACTCGTTTGTGCCTCCAAACACGATTGTCACTTCGACTGGCGAAGAACGTATAATAGATGGCGTACGGATACAATTTCAACTCGTGCCCGAGACGGAGGCGCCCGCGGAGATGAACTTTTTCTTCGCCGACCATGGCGCGCTGTACATTGCCGAGTGTGCAACACACAGCTTGCATAATATCA